CTGCCGGGGCTCACGGCCCGGCCGGCCCCCCACCCCCGGCCCGCCACCCCCGGCCCGCCGGCCCCCAGCCCTCCGCCGGGTGCCCTGGAGGCCGCAGCGCGCAGCGTGCACACGGCAGGGTTTCTCGTCGGAGCCAGAGCTCTCGCTGCCGTGGTCTTCATCCTCCGACAGCGGGCTCACCTCGGGGTACAGGTAGCGGCCCGGCGGCGCCGAGCGCAGCATGGCGAAGGACATGGACCGGCGGGGGCGCGGCGTCAGCTCTGCCGCGCGCCACTCATGCCGCCTCCTGCGGCCTCCGCGGGCCTCGCGGGCCGCCCGGGGCCGGGGCGAGGCGCGGGATCTTGGCTGCGCCCCGCGGTGGCGGCTGCCGGGCGCCGCGCGCACATGTGCGTCGGGGCTGGAGCGAGGCCGCAGGCTGCGCCTTTATAGGGCGGCCCGGCCCCGCCCCCTCGCTGCCCCGCCCCGCCCCCTCCCACCAGAGGCTCTGTGGAGCCCGGGGCCTCTGCCTCCCTGGGCCCCTGCCTGCTCCCTCTCCTCTTACCCTTCTGCCTCCTCTGGGTACCTCAGCCTCTCTCTGGTCCCTGCCTCTGTCTGTCTCCCTGGGCCCTCTGCCTCCCCACCCTCTGCACTCCCCCTACTCTTCTGTTGCCCCTCCCCCTGCCTTTCCCAGCCGTGCTCAGGGGCAGGTCCTTGGAGCATCCCTTCATCTTAAAGGATGCAGAGGAAGTGGGAGACCCCTTCTGTGTGGCAAGTCAGGCCCCCAAGACTACAGTGGCTGCCACTGCTTCTCAGCAGGTGGGAAGGGGCTCCAACAGGACCCATAGCCCTGCTTTTTTCCCTGGGATAAGCACATTAACCCGACTGCTCTGGCCCTAGAGTCTGACCGCGCCCTGTCTGTCTCGCGCTCCCGTGTGCTCTTGGGCCTGTCTGCCAGGCTGTGTGCCCCAGCCCCTGTGCTAATGTGAGTCGGCCCCACCCATCTCTCCTACACCTGCCCCTCCAGGCCTGGAGCAAGCTGTGCCTTCTGCTAGGTCCTCTCCCACTCTTCTCAGCTCACTTCTGCTCCAGGGCTTCAGAGAAACTGCCCCCATAGCCTCATTGCCTACTGTGTGTGTCCTGTGGGTCTCCTCTACCATGCGTGGGGACCGGGCATGCTTGGATAAGACCTGGTTCCTCCCCCAGGTCCCTTAGGAAACACACTTCTGTCCATCTAATTTTGGGATGGCCATGTTGTCCTGGGGTGCTGGAGGGCCCCCCTTTCCCCACGGAGAGGAAAAGGACATTCTCAGCAGTGGGCAGGGCACTGGGGGTGGACTTGTTGGGAGGGACATTAGTGGGCAGGTACAGAGGGGCAGAGCCCAAGGGGTCCTGTCCCACTGGCAGGGGGGAGCTCCCATCTGTGCTCATTCTGTCTGCCCTCCCCCCGTGACTACTGTTGCAGGAAGCGGCGCCTGGGCAGCAGTCCCCAGGCTGGAAGGAGTGAGGGTGGTGGCTGGCAGGGGCTGCAACCAGGAATGTGTGGCCAGGAATGTGGCCGCTCTGCCCGCCTTAAGGAGGGGCAGGGGGGAGGGAGTCCTTGGCCAGCCACAGGGCAGAGCCCAGTGGTTTCTGTCTCCCATGGAGCGGGTCAGAGGGGGTCTTCCTCTCACCCCTGCCCACCTCTACCTTAGGCCCCTGCCAGGGGAGGGAGCCCGGTGGGTGATGAGGTCATTGCTGTCTGTGGCTGCCCAGAGCCCTGGCCAAGGAATCCAATGGGGGGGGGCTGGGGTTGGCACCGCTTCAGTGGAAAATGTGAAGGTGCAGCTCAGGCGCCTCCAAGGGCGGGGGGGTGGGGCAGTGCCGGCCGCTGTGCCACGTCAGACCCTAGGGCCAGGGAAAGGGCATGTGCGGGGGTCAGCTGGCCTCGCGGTGATCGAGGCTAGTGCCTATATTCCGCCTATTCCCTCATCTGCACCTCCTGGGTGGCCTGGAGGGATGTGCATGGTGGAGCTGAATACTGATGTGCCATGGCTGCAGGACATCCGGAACACAGTGGGCAATGTGCCCCTGGAGTGGTACGAGGACTTCCCCCATGTGGGCTATGACCTGGATGGCAGGCGCATCTACAAGCCTCTGCGGACCCGGGATGAACTGGACCAATTTCTGGACAAGATGGATGACCCTGACTACTGGTGAGGGGCTGTGGGCAGGGCCTGCAGTGGGTGGGGCTGTGGGGCTGGAGCCAGGCTCTGACTGGCTGGACCCCAGGCGTACTGTGCAGGACCGGATGACAGGGCATGACCTGAAACTGACCGACCAGCAGGTGGCCCTGGTGCGGCGGCTGCAAAGGGGCCAGTTTGGGGACGAGAGCTTTGATCCGTATGAGGTAAGGCAGCAATCCTGGCCCTGGGGGTCTTGAAGTCCAAATAGGACTCTGGCCCACATGCCTGTGTCTGCTCCCCCAGCCAGCTGTGGACTTCTTCAGTGGGGACATCATGATTCACCCGGTGACCAACCGCCCAGCCGACAAGCGCAGCTTTATCCCATCCCTGGTGGAGAAGGAGAAGGTGGGAGCATCCCTGCCCCCCATGGTACAGGCCCTGTGCTGCCCACCCTGACCCGGGCCATCTGTGCAGGTCTCTCGCATGGTGCATGCCATCAAGATGGGCTGGATTCAACCCCGCCGGCCTCGAGACCCTACCCCCAGCTTCTATGACCTGTGGGCCCAGGAGGACCCCCACGCCGTGCTGGGGCGCCACAAGATGCACGTACCTGCTCCCAAGCTGGCCCTGCCTGGCCATGCCGAGTCCTACAATCCACCTCCCGAATTCCTGCTCAGTGAAAAGGAGGTGGGCCTACACTGGTTGGGGGTCTGGCCCCTGGCCCTGTGCTCCTGGCTCATGCCTCTTTTTATAGCGCTCGGCGTGGGAGCAGGAGGAGCCAGGCGAGAGAAAGCCCAGCTTCCTGCCACGACGGTTCCCGAGCCTGCGGGCCGTGCCTGCATACAGCCGCTTTATCCAGGAGCGCTTTGAGCGCTGCCTCGATCTGTACCTGTGCCCACGACAGCGCAAGATGAGGGTGTGTAGGGGTGGCTCGCCTGGGGGGACATGGGAGAAGGGCAGGGTGAACAGACGCTCTCCTGCCTCAGGTGAATGTGGACCCCGATGACCTCATCCCCAGACTGCCACGGCCTCGGGACCTGCAGCCTTTCCCCACGTGCCAGGCCCTGGTGAGTGGGGCGTGGGGGGCACACATCACTGGGTGTCCGTCTCCTCACTGCTGCCTCCTCTGCAGGTCTACAGGGGCCACAGCGACCTCGTCCGCTGCCTCAGTGTCTCCCCAGGGGGCCAGTGGTTGGCTTCAGGTGGGCCTGAGTTGGGTAGCCCTGGGTGGGGGGCGAGTGGAGGGAGCAGGTCCTCAGAGCCTTCTCTGCTGTGTCCAGGCTCAGATGACGGCTCCTTGCGGCTGTGGGAGGTTGTCACTGCCCGCTGTGTGAGGATTGTGCCCGTGGGGGGCGTGGTGAGGAGTGTCGCCTGGAACCCCAATCCCACTATCTGCCTGGTGGCTGCAGCTGTGTAAGCGTGGGGCCAGAGGCCCTGGGGTGTGGGACATGTGGGGCGGTGCATGTGCTGAGGGGTGTGTCTGGCCCTGGCCTGCAGGGAGGATGCAGTGCTGCTGCTGAATCCCGCCCTGGGAGACCGGCTGGTAGTGAGCAGCACGGATCAGCTGCTGAGTGCCTTTGAGTTGCCCCAGGAGCCCGCCATGCAGCCCGCCTGCTGGCTGGAGGCCTCGGAGGAGGAGCGCCAGGGGGGCCTGCGGCTGCGCATCTGCCATGGCAAGGTGTGTGGAGGGGCTGGGGGATGTGGAGGGGGCTGGCCTGGATCAGCCAACCAGCCAGCCATGTTCTCCTGCAGCCAGTAATGCAGGTGACCTGGCACGGGCGTGGGGACTACTTGGCTGCAGTACTGGCCACCCCAGGCCACACCCAGGTGCTGATCCACCAGCTGAGCCGGCGCCGCAGCCAGACCCCATTCCGCCGCAGCCACGGACAGGTGCAGTGTGTAGCCTTTCACCCTTCTCGGCCCTTCCTGTTTGTGGCCTCCCAGCGCAGTGTCCGCCTTTACCACCTGCTGCGCCAAGAGCTCACCAAGAAGCTGATGCCCAACTGCAAGTGGGTGTCCAGCCTCGCTGTGCACCCTGCTGGTGAGCCTGTGTGGGACTGTGGGATGTGCACCCTGTGGGTGAGCATGTGGGGCCACCCTGCTCACTACCTCTGGCCACCTAGGTGACAACATCATCTGTGGGAGCTATGACAGCAAGCTGGTGTGGTTCGATCTGGATCTCTCTACCAAGCCGTATAAGGTGCTGAGGTAAGGTGAGGTGGGCTGTGGATGTGGCCAGTTGGGTCCCTCCATTTAGCCTGACCCTGCCGCTAATCTGAAATCCCCCCAGGCACCACAAGAAGGCCTTGCGGGCTGTGGCCTTCCACCCCCGGTACCCACTCTTTGCATCTGGCTCAGATGACGGCAGTGTCATTGTCTGCCACGGCATGGTGTACAAGTGAGTGCTGACCTGCCTGGCCCCTCCTTGGGACAGCTGTGTCCGCTTATGTCCTGAGCCCTCTTCCTCCCCACAGCGATCTGCTGCAGAACCCACTGCTAGTGCCCGTCAAGGTGCTGAAGGGGCATGCGCTGACCCGAGACCTGGGTGTGCTGGATGTCGCCTTCCACCCCTCCCAGCCATGGATCTTCTCTTCGGGGGCCGACGGGACCATCCGTCTCTTCAGCTAGTGGCCTGCCTGCCTCAGTGGCCACAGCTGAGGTGTGGGGGTCTGGGTGTACTCAGGATCTTCAATAGAGGTTTTGTTCCCTATGGCCTGGTGCTCCTGCCTCCTTGAGTCGGGGTTCCTGCTGGGCCTTCACCTCACTGAGTTTTCCGAAGTTGGGGTCAGAGGGAACAACACCCAAGCAAGGGCACCCTCCTGGCTAGTGCCTGAAGGAAAGGCCACATCATTGTACCCATTGACTTACTGAGGTGCAGGTGGCTTTATTGGGAAATAGGTGGGGTCACACAGACGCCTGGCCTGCAGCGCCTCTCACTGAGGGTTCGGGTTTGATCCCGGGCAGTGCCAAGCCTGTCCCACCCTGCATCTAGGCAGGAGGCCCCATCTGAGCAGGTACAGGCTCACCCAGGGGGCTATTGCTTTGGGGAAGGGTCCACTGGCCAGAGCTTCACGCGAACTTCACCAGGCGGCCCAGGGCCTCGGCAGCCTTTGCTCGCACTGCAGGGGCCGGGTCCTTCAGCAACAGCTGGAGAGCTGGGGGCAGAGGGCGTGACTGCCAGGAGGGTGCTGGGAGCTCCCCCCTATCCCACCACCCCTGCCTGGACACTGTGCCTGGGGGGCCATGACCTTGGCACACCCCTGGCTGCGCGTGGGCCACACTCTCCTAAGAGACAGGCCTCTGCTGGGAGGGCTCAGGAGCCGACGGAAAGATAGTTTTTCCTTTTTTAGTGTTTTTTAAGCTCTTTTGGAACAGTTAAGAAGTTTCCGTGAATTACTAGAGACGATGAGGTCACCAGTGACAGGGAAAGAAATCCAGGAAAATCACTTAGTCCCTGCGGGTGCCCACAGGGTCAGCAGGGCCCCAGCAGGTTGGGGGCCCTTGTTGGGGGGGGGCAGGGGGCTCACCCGCAAGGAGCTGTTCCAGGTCCACCTGGGGCCGATGTCTGATCTCCGCATGCAGTACCAGGAACCCTGCAGGGTGGAGGGTAGAGTGAGGGGTAGGAAGGTGGGATGGGGGGTTTGGGGGTGGGAACAGCGCTTACCCGTGAACATGGGGGCAGCAGCACGGATGTCCTCCCAGCCACTCTTAAAGTAGAATAGGCTGGTGCTCACCAGGCGACCCAGCAGGTCTGGGAAGTGCCGCATCTGTGGGCAGCTTGGGTCAGCTCAGCCCCTGCTGGCTCCCTTGCCCCCTGCTTGCCCCCTGCCCTCACCAGGTGCTTGCAGGTGGTATTGAGGAACTCGCCAAAGTGCAGGCCCCGGCCTTCCTGCAGGTAATTCTGGAAGGTGGCCGATAGCTCCTCACACTCCAGGTTGGGGCCACACATGCGCAGGGCAAACCTGCAGGCCTGCGGGGCACAGAGGTGAGGCCCGGCCCATGGAAGCTGCCCACCCCCATCCCTACCAGCTACTCACGCTGGCCACGGGGGCCTGAGGGTCCTGCAGGTGCAGCAGCAGGGGTGCCAGCCCGCTGACGACCTGCTCCAGGAAGACATCTTCACAGTCTCTGTGGCAGGCCTCGTTAAGGTGCCCGAAGAGGCAGATGGATGCTGTCCGGACCTCTATTTTCTCCTGAGGGGCAGGCATCACCACAGACTATAACCCACCCCACCTGCCTCATGCCATAGATGGTGACACTCAGGCTGGGAGGGGCCAGGGACTTGGCAGTGGTGGCAAAGGCTGGCAAGACAAACTCCTCAGGGTAGGGGTTGTTAGGACTTGGTGCTCAGGTCTGCTCTGAGAGGGCCTAGCAGCAGTGGGGAGTTGGCCAGGGCTGGCCTGGGTGCTGTGACAGCCCTGAGGCTGGCATTGGGTCTGGCTGGAGTCCCTCACCAGGGGTACAAACTGTTGTGGCTTTTTGTTCCTGCCCCCAGCCCAGCCTACACTGTCAAAGAAGGGCCGGACACGGATGGCAACGTGCAGCAACACCGAGTGCAGGTCCCAGGGTTCCACCAGGGGCAGCAGCTGCGAGAGGCCCACCATGGCTTCTAGGGCCACCAGGCCATGGGGGTCATCCCCGTCGTCCAGCCCACTGATCATGGCCGTCAGGAGCTGGGGGCCATGGGCCCGCACCTGGGAAGGCCACATTCAGCCTGGGCTCCAGAGGCACCAGCCCCACCCCACAGGCTCACCCCTCCCTAGGCAGCCATGGCCCGCAACCACGTCTGCCTGGGTCCCAGAAGGGCTGGTGGCCAGGCCCACCTTGTCAGGGGAGCCTGAGGCAAGATTGGCCAGGCCTCGGAGCACCAGCCGCCGCACACTGGCACATGAGTCCTTCTGGCGCGCTGCCAGGCCATCCAGCAGTGACTCCAGAAGCATCAGGTCATTGACTACGTTGCTGCTGAGCAGCTGGAAGCACATAACAAGGGCTCCCACTGACCTCAGAGGCTCACCCCACCCACCCAGCTCAGGCCCAGAATAGCACAAGGCTGCCCTTGCCTTGGGCCCAGCACTCAGCATCACCAGCCTTGAGGGCCAAGGCAACAAATGCTGAGGAACCTACCCCCATTGAGGGCCTAGTGCAGGCTGCAGACAGCCCAGGTTCTCCCCTCCCTGGTAGTAGTAGGGTGTCACCAGGCAGGGGAGGCTGGTGCACACCTGTGGGGGAGGATACCCCCACCCCTGCAATGGTGGCACAGAGGCATCTGCCAGCCAGGGCAGAGGGCTCATCCTCACACCCAACCTCCCTCCCAAAGCCCTACCTCAGCCAGAAAGGCTGTGGAGGTGACCCTCTGGATCTCGTATGCGCTGTTCTGTGTGCCAATGAGCGCCTTCATCACCAGGGGCAGCCGGGGGCCTGCATACTTGGCCATGGCCCTGGGGAAGGAGGGCACCAAGGTTACAGGGGCTTGAGCTGTCTACCAGGGGCACTTCAATGCCCACCCTGCACGGTCAGAGCCCAGGTAGCTTACCTGGGCTGCTGCTGTCTGTCCCAGGGGCTCGAGCAGCTCTGCCTCCTCCCACATGCCACTGCGGTCCCCTGCCTGACTTTGTTGGGTCCTGTGACCCCAGAGGTTCTCTGAATAGGATCCAGGCCCAGTGGGAGTCCACACAACACTAGCACTACTGTGGGCAGGGCCTGCTCACCTGGCCAACCTGGTGGTCCCCTCCTCATGCCCAGCCGAGGTCCTGAGCAGCTCCCAGCCACCCTCCAACTCCACGTCCTGCATCACATCCTCACTGCCGCCTCGGAGCAGCATGGCCCGCAGGGCGTCTGCTGCAGAGCTGTGGGATCATGAGTGGGCTCAGCGGCTAGATGCACACCTGGGTAGCTGGGGGGGGGGCTGGGTCTGTACTCCCATGTGCATGTGCACACATGGGGAAGACCCTGGGGAGTTGAGCCTGTCCCCATGGAGCCATCCTGCAGGGGCCCAAGACAAAAGGCCAGCTGTTGGCCTGGAGGCAGTGAGGGCTTGTCTGTGGCCACTCTGCCACCAGCCTCAGAGGTGCACACTGGCAGAGTGTCCAGGCTTCCTTTCTGGACACTCATGGCAAGTACATGTCCCAGCCTCCCTGAACACCTGGCCTGCTATGTGCAGGCCTAGAGCCAACCTGCCCCCACCATGGGCCTGAAGCTTCACCCAGGAGGCCCCAGAACCCTGAGGAGGGTAGGCAGGCCACACCCCTGGCCCACTCCCAGGTGGTGAATGAAGCCAGCAGGTGAGTGAGCAGAGAATGTCGTTGCTGAGAGCCTTAGTACCCACACCTTGGCTGACTCCACCTCTCCAAAGCCCTGCCAAGCAAGGACCTCACCCCCAGTCTCCCTTGCAGGAGGCCCAGGGGCTGGCAGAAATTGTTTGATGTCACAGCCTCCCCACAGCCCAGCTGGATTTGGTGTCCACCTGCTGTTCAGAGAATCCCTTCCCTGCCCAGGCAGTGGCACTGGGGCTGCAGGACCCAGCAGGCAATGTCTAGGGGGAAGGAGAGCATCACTCATTCCTGCATGGGTGCCAGGGCATGGCACCCCAGGGAGACTCTCAGATCAAGGCAGGACCCTCCCTTGCAGCCCTACTCCCCACACTGCCCTCCCTGCCTACTAGCCACTGCACACAGCAGGCCCTGACCCCAGGTGCTTCTGGCCCAAACTGGACACCCATGGAGCTGTGTGCCAGCCTGCTGTGAGGTGGCAACTGTGGCCATGGTGACTATGCCCACCCCCACCCACTGATCACCTATAGGCATCAGGCCCCACAGGCTCTTTGGACCACAAGAAGCCTTAACTGTGCTGCCTGGCTGTGTAGGGGGTGGCCGGCTGAGCACATGCTGGGCCCAGGAGGGAGTGCAAGTGGCCCCCACTGAGGCTGGGACAGGCCTTGCTGGTCTGCACACTGTGTGGCAACAGGATGTGGGGAGGAAGTTGTGCTGAGCACCAGCTTGTTTGGGATCCAGTGACTGTGGCTATGAAACTTCAGGTGGGGCCAACTCCTTGGGAGAAGGACTCGGGCAGGGCTGAGGGACTGAGGAGCCCAGGGGTGCCAGTAGTGGGGAGGCAGGTGTTGGTGGCTGGGCCAGATGCAGCCCCCTTACTCCCCAGGAAGAAAACACTAGAAGGCAGCTCTGATGTCCCAGGAGTTCTGCGGTTCTAATGGAGAACCTGGTCTTTGAGCTGGGTGCTGAAGGGCTTCTGGCCCTGGAGACGGAGCAGAAGAGCCACGCCAGCCACTGCAGTCACTGGGCAGGCATCCACAGTGCAGCACATGTAAGGAGGCCCTGGACACACACAGGGCTGGGTCAGCCTTGGGCTGAGTGAGGGGTTGGGGTGAGGGTTCTAGCTGGCGAGAGTGCAACTGCCAGCTAGCACCACACCCTGCTCTAGGCCTTGCGGTCATCTAGACCAGAGGCTGCACTCCAGGCCACAAATGGTGCGCTGGTTATAGGTCTAAGGGGCAGTGCGTGTTTGGCACAGGAACATGGTAATGACTGAGATGAAGAGTCTCTCCTGCTTGTCTGCCCAGAACGCTGAAGAGCATGGCATCAGCAGGGTCTTCCTTGCTGGTTGGAAGCACAACTTCCCACATCCTGTTGCCACACAGTGTGCAGACCAGCAAGGTCTGTCCCAGCCTCAGTGGGGGCCGCTTGCACTCCCTCCTGGGCCCTAGGCCCAGCATGTGCTCATGGTTGGTGGCCTCTGTCAGCCAGGCTTTGCAAACACCCCAGCCCCAGGGGTGTCCCAGACAGAGCTGGTCCCCAGTAGGCCAGGCCTAGAGCTGGTGGCCACACTGTCTCTGTTCACATTGTCCACTTGGTCTCCAAGGAATGCATAGGCCCTGGGCCTGGAGAGTCTGAGCTGGTATGAGAAACCTTGTGGTGGTGGTAGTGGTCCAGTGAAATGAGGTCACCCTACCATGTGGCCCCAGCCAAGGTGCACACCCAAACCCAGATGCCCATGTGGGTGAGGCATGGTGGTCCCTGGGGCTCCTATCATTCAGATTCATGGGGCTGGGGCATGGCCAGTTCTGTCTGGGATGTCAGCTTCCTCTGCTGGCAACATGGCCCAGGCACTGTGTGGATCACTGGGAGCCCCTACACCAGCTCAGGAATGGCCACAGAAACCAGGCTTGGCAGGCGGGCCAGGCACCTATGCCACTGAAGCTCGGGGCAGCAGACCCACCCGGCTTCTACCCTCACCCCTCAGCAAGCAGCTCTACCGTGCCCACCTGGGACTCCTGCCCTAGAGCCCAGGGCTCACTGGCAAAAACCACAAGACCCCAAACCCCAGTGAGAGTGGCAGGGGAAGGGCTGGGGAGCCGCCTGGGGAGGCCAGGAACATCTCAGCAACAACTATTATATTGGGTCACAAGCACACACCAAGGCCACTCTGCCAGGACAGTTTCAGGGGCAAAGCTGGTTCTTTTTCAGTTGGCCCAACCCACACTTCAAGGACTCCCCCATGGTTCTGCCTTCTGAGAGGAGACACTGCCTGTGGCCAGCACTACCACTCAACACCACAGCAGTCCCTCACCAGCTTGCCAGCAAGGGCAAGAAGAGAGAGAGACCTTCACTCCCAGCATGTCATTGGGAGTTGCCACTGACTGCCCAGCCCTGCACTGGGCAAGGCACCAGCCCCTGCAAGCAAACTCTCTCCTGGGCTCCCCCTACCAGCAGAGCTGCCACAGACCCTTCAGGTCCTGCTGGCGCCCTACCTCTTTGTCTCGTATATGCACGCACACTACATCAGCACACTTACAAACCAGCACGGGGGTGGAGGTGCAGACACTGTTACCTGCAGGGCTCGAGGTTCCTTGCAGCCTGGGCCAGGCTGGCGCCCCTCCTCTCCTTGGCCTGTAGGTTCCGGGGCAGCTGGACTCCCACAGTGCAGCTGACACGGAGCAGGAGCGCCACAAACAGCTGCGGGTAGAGCTCGAGCACCGCAGGCCCTGATGCCGGGGCGGACACAACCTCATGCAGCGCACAGGTGGCCTGAGGAGAAGCCACCATGGGTCTGTGCCTCACTTGGGCCCTATACCCCAGGACCAAACAAGCCTGAGCCATCCCCCATGGACCCTGTGTGCACTAGGGGGTCTTGGGCTCTTGAGGCAGCGGGCAGGGAGAGAGGGGCAGTTCAGCCTTCATGGGACAGGCCTCAGACCATCTGTTCAGTTCAGAAGGGAGGAGGGGGAATTCTCACAGCTGGTTTACTGCTTGAAAGACTGCCAAGCTGCACTTATTTTTTTTTCCACAGGATAAAACGTGAAGCGATCTCCCTTGGGGGCCAACACCTGTGAGGCCTTTATGAGCCAGGGCTCAGTGCTCCAGCACCCGTGCCCCTGCACAGCAGCCAGGTGCCCATGGGGTGGCACCCAGGCCACTTTGTGGGGGGCTCCACCCTGGCACTCAGGCAGGTGGGAACAGGGATGATGTGTCAGGGTGTCCCCTGGGGCACCCACTCACCGAAAGGGGCAGCAGCGTGGCCACTCGGTCGGGGGCGCTGCCTAGAAGAAAGGCTCGGCTCTCCTTGAACGGGACATCTCTGCTCATCTTCTCCAGAAGCAGCCCCAGTACCTGGGTGGCAAGGCTGGACTCCACAGCCAGGGCCCGCCAGAGCATGCAGGTGTGGCTGCAGCGGGGCAGGAGGAGGGTCACCACAAGGCCACCACTGGCCACGGAATCACAAGCACCTGGGCCAGGCATCCCCACCCACTCCCCTCAGAGTGTGGACCTGGCCCCACAATGCCCAGACAAGCCTATCAGACTCGAGCATCCAGGTGGGAAACGGCCTCCTGACCTTGGGTCTGAACTCATCCTCTTGACCCCAGGGGTCTGTGTACAAAGCTGAGAAAAAATCTGGTCCCTAACACAGAGGGCCTTAGGCAGGGGTGGCAGGGGCAAACGCTAAGCTTCTCTAGAAGAAGCAGCACACAGTAGGAGAGAACCCGGTGCACATGGAAATGAGGCAACACAAGTGAGACCACCCACATGTCACCAATGGGGGACAATGGGAGGCAGCTATGCTCATGTGTTTACAGAACTAAATGACAAGCTTCAAAATATCTCCTGGGAACTTAAAATTCTAAGGATAGAGCAAATTTAAAAGAGAACCAATATAGCCCTTTTAGAAATGAGACACTAATGCACTCAGTGGACATATTTGGTGCTAGCCCGGATATGGCAGAAGAGAGAAACAGTGAATTGGAAGATAAATCAAAGAAGTTAACTCAGAACCCAGCACAGAGGAACAAAGTGGAAATTCATAAGACAGCATAAGAGATGTGCAGGATAGAATGAAAAGTTTAACTGTTCATTCAAGGGGTGTCCTAGAAGCACCAGAAAGAGAGATAATATCTGAAAAGGAAAAGCCTGAGAATTTTTCAGAATGGATGACAGGTACTAACCTACAGACTGAAACAGCCTAGCAGCTCCCTAGCAGAATAAATAAAAGGGAACCTCCACCTCCAATTAGCACAACACCAACACTGAAGAAATTCATGAAGACAATACCAGTTAGACTTGTGCCAACTTCTCAAGAGCTAGGGTGGAAACTAGAACACGTAATGTGTCGCTTCACACGCACTGAAGAAAATGCCTGTGAAACTAGAGTTGGAAACTCTGAGAAATGATATTCAAGAAGGATGGCCAAATGGACATGTCCAGTAAACAAAAGTGGACAGTTTGTCACTAACAAGCTCACCAAGGAAATTCTGGACACTGTGTTTCAGGTAGAAGCAAAGTGATGGAGGCTGAAATGCCAGGCCAAAGAGCAAAGGACTTGGCAGTAAATGTGGACAAACGCACACACTAGCTGGGATGCAAACACCAAGCGCTGGCAAGGACATGGAGGCAGCGCCAAGGCACTGAGGCCCCGCAGGCTTGGCCACCCTGGATGGCGGTTCAGTCACATGTGACAGCCAAGCCTGTCTGCACCCAGGGCAGAGCCACAGACTTCTGAAAAGGCCAACTGGTAAACAGTTGGGGCGTCACGGACCACGGAACCTCTGCTGCAACTAGTGCAGTCTGCAGCTGCAGCATGAGCGGCCAAAGGAGGGAGAGGGTGTGGCCGTTTCAATAAGATTTCATTTATGGACACTGAAATTTGAATTTCCTATCATTTTCTTTTTTCTTTTTTTCTTTTTTTTGAGACAGAGTCTCGCTTTGTTGCCCAAGCTAGAGTGAGCGCCATGGCGTCAGCCTAGCTCACAGCAACCTCAAACTCCTGGGCTCAAGCCATCCTTCTGCCTCAGCCTCCCGAGTAGTTGGGACTACAGGCATGCGCCACCATGCCTGGCTAATTTTTTCTCTATATATTAGTTGGCCAATTAATTTATTTCTATTTTTAGCAGAGACGGGATCTTGCTCTTGCTCAGGCTGGTTTCGAACTCTTGACCTCGAGCAATCCGCCCGTCTTGGCCTCCCAGAGTGCTAGGATTACAGGCATGACCCACCGCGCCCGGTCTTTCCTATCATTTTCACATGTCATGAAATATTGTTTGGTCATTTTCCAACCATTTATAAATACAAAACCTGCTCTCAGCCCATAGGGTGTACACAAACAGGGGACAGGCCAGGCATAGCCCATGACTGTGGTCTATCAACCCTTGACCTAAGCAATTCTGCATGTAACACAAAACAGATGAACACTCTAACCCACAAATGACACCACACAGGAACCATCAAAAGCAGCATTGTCCCAAACAGCCCCTAAACCACCCAAACCTCTATCACCTAGACTTGGATGAGTGAACTGTGCAGTACCCACACAGCTCCCCACAACGCTCGAAAGAATGCGCTGAGCCAGGAAGCCCCAAGAATTGACCTGACCCACATGCACAACACTTACGTTCAGGTGGAACCTATCTCCAGGGAGGGCAGGTGGCAGTGGAGACCTTTCTGGGGGTAAAGGTATGAGATGAGGGGCACACAGGGTCTGCCACGGGCAGGATCCCTCCTCTGCCTCGTGTGGAAAGTGCATGTGGACACACCACCATAGAAATGAAATAAAGACTGAACAAAGAGCAAAGTGGTCACGATTTACCTAAATACTGTCTGCATTACAGAGCAATAGTGATGGCTCCAGCATCAGATGCAGCTCCACATAAACCAAGGGTCCTTGTTACAGAAAATGCTCAGAGAAAAGAAACAGAATTTCCAAACTAATCAAATGGAAAAATGAAATGGTTAGAGAGACTGTCAATCTAAAAAAAAAGATAAGATTTTAAAACACAGAACAGGTGAGACAAAAAGAAGGCAAAAAATAAGAGTAGATTTAAACCCACGACATCAGTAACAAAACAGCAATTTACTGTTTAAAACGAACACATCCAAAATACGAAGACAAAGAGGACCGGGACAGCACAGCGGCAAATGCTGGAAGTGCAGCGGCATGGCCAGCAAGGCAAAGTGGCGCCCCAGATGACCACGGGCGTCCCCAGAGGAAACAGGTGTTTTAACTTATGTGCACCTGACCATCAGTGCATAAAACAAGCCGACAGGAATGAAGGACCAGACACAACAAAAACTGCGATCTTCGAAGCAGCTGCAGCACCTGCCCAGTGGAGAGGGTCTCACTGCCTCACCCAGCATGGGGGCCTCCAGGAGGTCCCAGGCAGCCCAGCGCGCCTGGGACAGCAAGAAAGGCAAGACCAGCAGGCCTACATTCCAGACCTTAGTGATGACCCCGGTGTGGTGGTAGGTGGCAGACAGGCAGGACAGGGACGACCCTGCCGTTTGTTGGGAGCTGGAAAGATGCGCCCGTTTAAGTGAGGATGGGGGGATGCGCTGGCATAGGTGAGGATGGGGGTCCATGGGCACCCAGAGAGGGCTCAAAGTGGGTGCAGCCCTGGGGATCAGCTCACAGGTGGTGGACACCCGGTAGAGGAAAAGCCCTAGGAAAACTGGAATGGACACATCAAGGAGCATCCTCCAGTGCCCACGGAAACCTGGGGCTGACGGGAAATTGGCCAGGCAGCTTCAGGGCCACAGAGGACAGGGACAGTGAGCCCCCCCATGGAGGGCTGTGCAGAGCCCAGCCTGGCTGGGGGCACAGGGAAGGCCTCAGCAAGGACCCTGAGTTGCCTATGAGGCTGGAGCCTATCTCCATGGGTCTCAGAAGAAAGCTGGGCAGAGAGGCAGGTATAGGCCCGGGAGGGAGCACTGCTCCAGGTAGGAGGGACCCCAGGGCCTGGGCCGGTTACCTGTCAAAGGGCAGAGGGCTGCCCAGGAGGCTGGACACCACGGCTGCACAGTGCTGGGATGCCAGGAGGTACACACTGTGCTGGGTGGCTGGCAGGACGTGCTCCTGGGTCTCTTGCAGCTTGGAGCGCAGCACGCTCACGATCTCAGGCACCTGGGGATGGACAGGACATGGTGGTTAGGCCATGACTGGGGCTGGGTGTAGGCGCACATCTGCATGAGCTACAGTGGTTGGGGCTACATGGAAGGTACCCAGAGCTCCAGCTGCTGGTCTCGGGGGAAAGGCAGGGCCAGCTCCCAGAGGCGGAGCAGACCAGAGACCCAGGAGTCAGAGTGAGCCCCAGACTTCACAGGAAGTGATGAACACCACTGGGGGTGGTGGGCAGCTGATACAGAGTGGTGAAGGCAGGGACTGCTGGGCTGAGTTGGGGCCCCCAGAACCAATGGCCCCTTACACCCCCACAGCACAGCTGCTCAGTCCAGCCCAGGAGACCCCCCTCTGCCCACTGGAGGCAGGACCTACATGGGGGTCAGGCTGGCGGCTGAGGACAGAGGCTGGGGTTGGACTCAGAAAGGGAGGATGGGACATCCAGATGGCTGGTGCAAGTCTGTGAGTGTCTCACTGCTCTGGAAAACAGGTGACTGGAACATAGAGGAAGGGGGGCAGGAGGACCCGGGGACCTCCAGGCCCACCTCAAGCCCAGCTGTGGGCTCTGCAGTTCCTGACCAGCCTCCAGCTGGTCTAGCGCAGTATGTGAGGCTCTCGGGGCAGGGCCTAGTTGTGGGGGCCCCACCAGAAGGGGTGGCTGGTCTGAGAGTCTCCTCATAGCCTCAACTGTGGTGGCCCCACTGCCAGGATACACAACTGAAGCCACCAGGGTCTGGGGTGAAAATAGATGAAAGAAGCTGGAGGCCACGGGGTCACAGCTGGGAGGGTGTGTGGGAGGCCACCTGGTGGAGTTTGTATGATAGCACTCGCCTCACTGCTACCAACCTCAAGGAGTTGCCAACACAGACATCGATTTCCTTGGGAGGCCCTGGGTACAGGGAGCCGTCCCAGCTCAAGGTCATGTGCATCAGAGTTTGGACAGCCTGTGTGCCTTGGTCTTTATCTGCATGCCCACCTGCCCTCCTCGTCCTAGACCAGCCATGTCCCCGACAAGATGGCTGTCCAGGTCTGGGGAAGTGCATGCTACACATCAAATGGTACTCTGCATCCCTGACTTCCAGGACGTTCTGACTGCAAGGAGGTCAAGCAAAGACTTCTGAACAGGTGTTGTTCCTTAGCCCTTCAGGGTGGTCACTTGTGCAGAAAGGCCTCAGGGCATGCAGCCAGTGCCACTGCTGGCCTGTCCCACCTGTTCCCTGCTGATGTGGCCTCTCCATCCAGCGCAATGTGTGGGCCCCAGGGCTCAGCTAGGGGCAACTCGGTGATGCAGGAGCAACCACTTCAACCACCTTGGTAGTTATGGCTCCACTGGACTCTCCTGTCTCCCTTGCATTAATGTTGGCATTTTATTTTTTTATAGAAACCTATCAATTTCACAGATTTTCAAGTGTTTAGGAACACAGCTGCTCATGGATATGCTTCATTATTTTTTACATCTTCTGTGTGCATATTATTTTCCCTCTTTTACTTTGTATTTTGCTTTTATGGATGTCGGCTCTTTTCCTATGACTTGTCTCATCAGAGGTTTATTTTTCCATTTATTTCGGTGGGTTTATTTATCTTCTCTAATATTTTCTTCTGCATATTTACTTTTTCAACAACTAGAACCTACTGGTGAACATGAGTGCTCAAATCCATACTTTTCACAAAGTTTGAAATGGCATCTGGGTGCCTGGGTTTGGAGGGCCCTGGGGGTGGGGCTGGCGTCCACACTAACTTGGCTCGCAAAGCCCAGTTCGCAGCAGGCCCACACACTGGTCCTAGGAGGAGGGGCTGCAGTCCAGCTGCCTGTAGTGCCAGGCACACTGACCCCTGCGGGGACCTTTCCCTTTCTGTCATGCTGGGTCTGGGCCATGTGCTCAACATGGCTTTGCTGAGACATAATTCAGACACCACACAGTTCCTGTGCAACCGGTATTTCCATATCCCCCAAAAGAAACGCTGTCTCCACCAGAGGTCACTCCACACCTCCCACCCGATCCCCAGCTTCTGGTAACCTCTACGCTACTTTCTGTCTCTGTGGATTTACCTATTCTGGAAGTTTCACATAAATGGAATCGCACTATGACAGCTTTCTGTGTCTGGCTTCTGTCACTAGGCATGATGTTCTCAAGGTCCATGTGTGTTGTAGCAGGTGTCCGTGCTTTACTCCTACGGCTATACTCCACCCTACAGATGGACCATATTTTCTTTACTCACTCATAAACTGATGACATTTGGGCTGTTTTTCCTTTCTGGATAATACAAATTATGCCATGAATATTTGTGTACAGGCTTTGTGTGAACACATTTTCAGTTCTGTTAGGTGTATGTCTGGAGTAGAAGTATTGGGTCACATGGTAACTCAACTTTCTGAGGAGCTTCCAGACTGTCTCCACAGTGGTGGCCCCATTTTCTGCTCCTGCCTGCTTGTTTCAAATGGAGCCCCTTCTCCCTTGTTGTTTCCTTGGCCTCCCCTGCACATCCTCTTCAACCCACGGAGTCTCTCTCCCCCACCTGACGTTAGGGATCCACTGTTGTTCCTGTCTTGCCCTCTGTGCTCTGATGCATGATCATCTTGTGTTGGGGGAGGTCACATGCTGCCTGCTAAGGCCATATTTTCTTTTTTTGTTTTTACATATTACATAATTATTTATGTAAAACACTTTTTTTAAATTTTGGCATATTATGGGGGTACAGATTTTAAGGTTTCAATAAATGCCCTTTCCCCCCCTCCCCCCACAAGTCTGAGTCTCCAGCATGACCATCCCCTAGATGGTGCACATCTCACTCATTATGTATGTATATACCCGCCCCCCTCCCCCTCCCACCTGCCCAATACCCTATTACTGTAGTTCCTATGTGTCCACTTAGGTGCTACTCAGTTAATACCAGTTTGCTGGTGAGTATATGTGGTGCTTGTTTTTCCATTCTTGGGATACTTCACTAAGTAGTATGGGTTCCAGCTCTAACCAGGAAAATATAAGATGTGCTATATCACCATTGTTTCTTAGAGCTGAATAGTACTCCGTGGTATACATATACCACATTTTATTAATCCATTCTTAGATTGATGGGCACTTGGGCTGTTTCCACAGCCTTGCAATTATGAATTGTGCTGCTATAAACATTCGAGTGCAGGTGTCTTTTTTGTAGAATGTCATTGGATCTTTTGGGTAGATGCCCAGCAATGGGATTGCTGGATCAAATGATAGATTCACTTGTATCGCTTTAAGGTATCTCCATATTGCTTTCCACAGAGGTTGAACTAGTTTGCAGTCCCACCAGCAGTGTAGGAGTGTTCCCCTCTCTCCGCATCCACACCAGCATCTATTGTTTGGAGACTTTTTGATAAAGGCCATTCTCACTGGAGTTAAGTGATACCTCATTGTGGTTTTGATTTGCATTTCCCTGATGATTAGAGATATTGAGCTTTTTTTCATATGTTTGTTGGCTATTCTTCTGTCTTCTTTAGAAAAGTTTCTGTTCAAGTCCTTTGCCCACTTTTTAATAGGGTTATTTGATTTTTTCTTGCTGATTTTCGTGAGTTCTAAGTATATTCTAGTTATCAGCCCCTTATCAGATGCGTAGGATGCAAAAATTTTCTCCCATTCTGTAGGTTGTCTGTTTACTTTCATGACTGTTTCTTTGGCTGTGCAGAAGCTTTTTAGTTTGATCATGTCCCATTTATTTATTTTTGTTGCTGCTGTGATTGCCTTTGGGGACTTCTTCATAAACTCTTTGCCCAGGCCGATGTCTAGGAGAGTGTTTCCAACATTTTACCCTAGAATTCTAATAGTTTCATACCTTAGGTTTAAGTCTGTTATCCAGCGTGAGTTGATTTTTGTGAAAGATGAAAGATGTGGGTCCTGCTTTAGCCTTCTACAAGTGGCTATCCAGTTTTCCCAGCACCATTTATTGAAAAGGGATTCTTTTCCCCAGCATATGTTTTTGTCTGCTTTGTCAAAGATTAGATGGCTATATGAGAATGGTTTTATATCAGGATTCTCAGATCTGTTCCACTGGTCAATATTCCTATTTTTGTGTAAGGCCACATTTTCTGATTCAATGTCAGAGAAACTCAAAAGTCCAACAGCATCAGCCTGTTTTAACCCTTTGCACTCGCTTGCTGTTTTCTCATCATCCACTTGACATTATCCACACTCGACATCTGAGTACAAAGGGTTAAAGAGGTCCCCCGGCAGGGAAGAAAATGGGGGTTCACCATGACCCAAGTGGGTATATGACACTAGTGTACCAAGTTACAGGTGGGCTGAGGTGCTGTGTCATAGGCCTGCTCCTGGCTCAGCCTGGGCATCAACAACCCCACTCCCTGGCCTTGCTGTGGAGTGTCGTGTATGGGAATCTGAGCTGGGAAGGAAACAGCTCGGCAGCTCCACTGTGCAAAAAGCAGCACCCTCAGAACCCAATACCCAATTCAGTGTGCCAGGCCCACAGATGGGCCCTTGGGTTCATCAGAATGGGGGACCAAAACCCATAAAACTTCTAGAAGAAAACATAGAGCAAAAGCTTCGTTGACAGTGGATCTGGCAATGATTTCTTGGACATGACACCAAAAGCACAGGCAATGAATAAAAATAGGTCAGGCGCAGTGGTGTTGCCTGTGGTCCCAGCTACTTTGGAGGCTGAGGCAGAAGGATCGCTTGAGCCCAGGAGTTTGAGGCTGCAGTGAGCTGTGATTGCACCACTGCACTCTAGCTTGGGCAACAGCAAGACCCTGTCTCAAAAAAAAAAAAAAAAAGAGCAAAAAACAAAAAAGAATGAAAGGAAGGAAGGGAAGAGAAAATAGATGAATGAACAAATGAGACTATGTCAAACTTAAAAACTTTTGTGCATCAAAAACCAAATCAACAAGAGTGAAAAGGTAGCCTACAGAGTGGAGAACATGTCTACAGACCCCGCTTGCCCTCACCTTCTCTAGCAGTGCGCTGCCCCGCTCCTGCAACAGGCAGTTGACCATGACGGAGGCGGCCTGGGAGCAGTTCTTATCGGGGTCCCCCAGGCCCTCAAACATGGTCAGCAAGAGGCTGATGAGCTGGTCCGCCGGGAGGCGCTTGGCAATAACCTAGGCAAATGGTGGTGCCAGAAAATCAAAGAGGGTGGGGCCAGTACCCCCAAACACCACTATTTCCAGGGATCAAATTGCAGGGGTTCCAGCCCTTCTCACAGCTGGCCCTAGCCCTCCCCCCCACCCTGCACCTTCCATGAGCTCACAGTACAGTCATGGGCCCTGCGGAGGGGTTGGAGGGAGTCATTCACCAGAGCCTGCCAGGGCAGATAGGAGCCTGGGCGGGCTCCTGTAGGGGTCCCTAGGGTCACAGCTCCCTCCTAGAGGCTCCCCCTGGCAGTGTGGTCGCCCTGGAACTCTGCAGGGCAGTGGGGCAGCCCAGCCCACCTGAGCAGGCCTAGACCCTCAGCTCCCCTCCAGCTCAGCAGTGGACAGAAGCCCTCTCCTCTCCCTTAAGCATGAAGAGACTGGCCAGAAGTTACAGCCAATAAAGCAGCATGAAGGGTAAGGAAAAACACAAAACAATGCACCAAGAAGACAGGAAAGCATGAAAAGTGACTGAACATCCAAGAATTCTGACCCAAGACCAGGAAGCCTCTGCTCTACCTTAACTGGCCCAGGGCAGGGTCTTTGCTTCCTAGTCCCAGAGTCCCCAGCCCAGAAAGGGCCATGGGGACCCTTCCCTCCCCTCTTCTCTGCAGGAGACAAACCCTCTGGATCCTAGAAGGCCATTTCTAGGCACCACATCACAGAGCAGCCATGCCCCAGCTCCACATTGAGGAAGGAGCAGCTCTCTTGACCCCTTGGAGACCTGCTGGGCCTCTCGGTGTGGACATCAGCACCACAGGGCTGGAAGGCACACTGGACTCAGTGCCTCTCCAGAATGCAGTGGACAAGGCACCTCAACCAGCCAAAGGCAGGGCCCACCCCAGCCCCTTGGCAAGATGGCTAGAGCCCACCATGCCCCACAGACCAGGCCCCAGCCCCAGGTGGCTCTTGAGTAGATGTGAGCTCAGGGCAGCCCTCAGCACAAGCACAGGGAAAGCCCCAGAAACCTGCATCTGCGGCTAACAGGCTTGAGGGAAAGGCAGCTGGGCCTGGTGGCACCCCATTCCCTCCATGGGTGGTAGGGGCAGCACTGGTCAGAGGTGGCGTCAGGCAGCTAACTCTCTGAATGAAACCTGCCCTGTGCCCCATACCCACTGACCCCAGGTGGCACCTACAGAGCCTGGGAGAGTCCAGGTGCTGGCTCGAAGCCCCTCAGCCCCCCACGGTATGGGCCCCTCCTTCCTGCCACAGGTGTTCTACACATACCTGGGCTATGCTGTGGCAGGTGTGGAAGAGGACGGCTGGGTCCGGGTGCATGAGGCCATCCTTGAGAGTGAGGAGCCGCTCAGCTGTGTCATCACGGTAGTCTTGGGAGAAGCCTGAGAGAGGAGAGGAGAGTCTGGCTGAGGCCTTCCTGGGCGATCCCTCAGCAGGACTCTGCGCCTCATCCCTCTGCACCTTTGCCACCTCGGCCCAGACCCGCCCTCGCCCTCAGCAGGGGCTCACCCTCATAGCCCAGCTGAAGGTAGAGCAGGGAGTAGACGCAGCCCACGGCCTCCTGACGTGCGGCAGGCCACAGGTCCGCACACCGTGGGGAGAAAAGGCCGACAAGCAGGCCCAGGTTGTGGAAGGGCACCAGGGCCTGGGGGAGAGGGCCAGAGGGAATGTGTGGTGCCGGAGTGTGGCCAGGAGGTCAGCCTGTGTCCATGCAACCCCAGGCCCTCCCCATGGTCAGCACAGCCCCCTGCTGAGCCCCTTCCCTGACCCAGTGTAGGCTCTGCCCAGCTCAGCTCTGCTCCACTTGGGCAGATACTGGGCGAGCAGGTGTGTGCAGCAGGGATAATTGTGGAGGAGAGGGCATGTGAAGCCAAAGGCAGGCCAGGAAGCCTGTAGGGTGCTCTGGGACGTGAGGGCCATAGGCCAAGGGACCCAGGAACAGGGCTGGGCTGGGAGCAGGGCAGGCTGGCAACCCAGGCACTCACACTGACATGCAGGTGCTCCAGGAAGTACTGCAGCAGACAGCTGCTCAGGCCCAGAGCCCGCACCCGTTCATGGCCCCTTGGGGACTTGATCCATGGGCTCAGGTGCTGGGGAAGAGGGGACTTCATACAGATGTCTACTCAGGGGCAACCCAGGAGAGCAGGGCCCATGTGCCAGGCCACCCCTCCTGGGCTGCCAGGGCCAGCCTGGGCCCACATGGCTTGTACCTCAGGGCCCACTGCAGCCCTGGCCCTGCCACCCTGCCCTCCCGCCTGGCTCACAGACACAGCCTGCCAGGTGGACCCAGAGCTGGCGGGGTGGTGGAGGCATAGGGAGGAGCCTGCCCTGACCCAGAAGGGCACATCCGTGGAATGAAGGGTCGGTGCTGCCCCAGCCACAGCAGTGATTAGTGTAGAAAAGCTACAGCACAGCCACAGCCTTCCCGTCCTGCCACCATGACAGCCCCCAGACAGCCAGGAGCTCACAAGGGACCTGCGGGACACCCCAATCCTGGCACCATGTGGGCTCCAGAGGTGCATCTCAGTCTGGGCCTCTCCCATCTGCATTCTGCCCAGGCAGAAGGGGTGCTGCCGCCCACTCACAAAGTCCGCCCCAATTGCAGAGAGCACCAAGCCATCTCTGGGGTGCCCTTGTGAGGAGAGAAGACCCAGAGAACCAGGTAGAGCAATCCTCATGCAGCCACCACCCTGCACACCTCGACCATGACCTGCAGGCCCTGGGGGGTCATGTCCTGCTGCAGGAGGCTTGTCAGCAAATCCTCAAGGGCACGCACCGTATCCAGATACAGGGCCTGGAAGGAGAGCCAGGCCACCCGGCCCCACCAATGACCCCACTGCCCACAGTGGCCTTCCTGTTGCCACCCACGGACACAGGCACACAGTGGAGGACACGCAGCACTACCTCCTGGCAGCCGATGTCCTCGCCCTGGGACTCAGGTGGCAGGGCCATGACGCTATGCAGGCAGCCTTGGATCACGTCCGCACGGGCCTGCTCCCCCAGTGCCGGCTGCAGGGAGCTGAGCAGCAAGTTAAGGGCCCAGACATCAATCCTGTGGCAGGTCCAGCCACCCGGAAACTTCCGTGCCTATGTGGATAGCACAGCTGCCCACAGTTTGGCTCACTCTGGACCCAAGGCTTCAACCCCTCACAGCACACATGTACACACACAGACCTACATACACACACACACACACACACACAGAGGCTGGAAGGATACGCCAGGTAAGTGCAGGTGAGCATGGCTTTCTTCCGAACAGGTGTCCTTAAGGAATCTGGAGGCTCTGCTCTGATGAACTCCTGGAGGAGGCAGCCAGTGGCTCAGCCTGGGAGGAGGTGCCAGCTTTCCTCCCCATCAGCCTCCCAAGCTCTGTCTGTCCTCATGTGGCCTCTCACCCCGTTCTCACCCCTGGGTCCTCCCCAGACCCCACCTCCACTGCCACCAGCACCTATGATGCCACCATCTGTCTCCCAGGAAGCTGCCTGGGACCAGCCACATGATCAGTGCTCACCATCATCTGTGCCACCAGCTCTGCTTTCCTGGAGAAGTGGAAGGAGCTGGCCTGCGCACTGCTGCAGATGGCACGGCTGACCATGCACGTGCTCTGGACGAGGCACAGTTTCAGGGCTGGGTCCTAGAGGGACACCCAGCTGCAGGAGGCCATCAACACCCACCCAGGACCGAGCACAGCACACGCCCCCTCTCCTTCTGCTGCAGCCAGACTGCTGCTCTGTACTCAGAGGAGCTCTCCAGCCAGTCCTCCCACACGTCAAAGTCCATGTGGGACAAGAAGAGTGTGCCCAGGGATCACGGAGGAGAGGAGAGGAGAGCCCTCAGCTGAGCGGGCTGCCCCTCCCTGTAGGCTCAGAGAAGGGTGAGGGGAGGTGTCCTGAGGACACACAAGGCTGGCCCCTGCCATGCTAATGGCTGAGGAAAAAGAAACTCTGAGAACTCTGTGCTCTGCCCTTCATGGGTTGCCAACTGTCCCCAGCAAGGGTCTTGTCAGGTTAGTGCCAGAGATGACAGAAGGAAACAAGTTAGAGAGGTGGGGGACTTCGGGGGGCCAGTGAGCCTCCGTGACATTGCCACTGGTTCTGGTCAGCCCCCCTCCTAGGTGTGGGGATCTGGAAAGGTACAGCCCCTGAGAATCAAGGAGCAGAGCCAGAGGAGAGTCGTCTGTCCTGGGGCCAGGCAGCTATAGCCCAGGCCCTGGCTCCTCAGAGGCGGCAGAAGCCTCCCTTGTTGCCCACCTGCCTCACAGGGCCCAGGCTAGGGCAGGAGCCCTGGGTCTCTGTTCCAGCCCCTAGAGGAGGGGCTGCTCCAAAGGGAATTGGAGGCAGGAGAAGGTATGATACTCTAAATGCTCTCCCATGGGCTGGGAGCAGGAAGCCCCAGAAAGCTCCCCTCTGGCTCTTCCCCAGAAGCTCAAGCCATCCCAGAGAGCTGAGAGAGGAAAGGCAGAGCTGACATTTAACTCCCACACACTGTACCTTGGTTTCTACCTTTATTCCCAGAACCTGAACAATAAAAAGTGAAATGAATTAAGTTGTGAGAGTCTCGTGTCGGCAGGACCCCTCCCTGCCAGGCCCCACTACCCAGACAGGCCTGCGCAGCACCCACCTTGGTGCTGAAGTACTGGAACATGTTCCGGAGGATGTCCGACTCCACCCTGGCCAGCATTAGCTCCCGGGGGGCCTGTGCTGCCACGTGCCCATAACACAGGATCAGGGCACTCTTCACTTTTTCTACCTCGTTCTCACTTCTGTCCTGAGGGGCCAGAGGAGTCAATGATTACACAACAGACTACACCCCTGACAGGAAGCCTTGGACGAAAACTCACTGAAGTACTCCTTGAGACAGGCCAGAGCTGGTCATCAGAGGCATGACCCAACTGGCGGATAGCACCACCTGAGCAGAAGAGCCCCTTTGTCAGGGACAGGAGGGGCCAGGGGGCCTGAGTGGCAGAGAGAAAAGGACTACATGGTGGGGTGAGCAGAAGGGAGGGCTGGGAGCCCCAGAGTAGACACCCTGTCCACGCCTGAGCTACAGGGCAGTTCCTCTGTCCCTGGGGCTTGTCCCACCTGTGCACAGATAAAGGGCTGGGAGGCCCAGCAAGCCAGGTCCAGCCCTGAGAGTCTATAATTGGGCAGGGCCACAGCAGGGGTCCACGCCTTCCTTAGGTCAGGCCTTGGCTCTGGCAGCTCAACCACTGGCTTCAGCAGAAGTGCAGCCTCCACTGGCCACCAGAGGGCAGAGGTCTATGCAGGCAGCCTGGCCCCCCCCCGAGGGAGGTGCTTCCAGACTCTCACCCTGGCCCTCCCCACCACGACAGGTAGAGAGACGCATGCCCCTTGTCACCAGCTGTATTCACTTCTGCGAGGCCTTATGCCCCCTCTGCCAGAGGTGGGGTGAGTGGGCCACACACACACACACATACACACACACACACACACACACACACAGAGGCCCCGCTCATGCAGGGAATGCAGGAAGCAAAAACTGCATGTCATCTTCCTGCCCCACCCCAAGCATGCAGGGCACCCCCTGAGCCCAAACTTGTGAAGAGACAGAGCTGCCCTCAGAGGCGCAGGAGCCCCGCCCCATCCTCACCACCCCCACCACTCCCCAGGACCTTAAAATGTAGGGTAGCGGCTGAGAAACAAAATCACAGAGACAGTCCTCCTACCCCAGACCTCCACCCTGGCCATCAGCCTAACCTCCGTACCTTAAAAATGTTGAAAATGCCAATGGATTTTCTAAACACATCCGACTTTACAAAGTCCTCCAGCTGGGCCAGGGTGTCCTCAAGGTGGGAGCTGGCACAGATCCCAAAGCAACAGGCAAGGCCCTGAGGAGACACACAGGTGTACTCACACCTGCACAGAGAGGACCCTGCCCCTTGCCTTAGAGTCGTGTAAAGAAAAGAGCGCATGTGCACACACACACGGCATACAGGCTTGTGTACATATGCACATATGCATATGCAGACACAGGCAGTGCACCATGCACACACACACATGCTGTACACATGCAGATGCAGACAGTGCACCATGCACACATGTGTACATACGTGTGCAGATGCAGCCAGTGCACCATGCACACATGTACACACTACATGTGTACAGATGCAGATAGTGCACCAGGCACACATGTGCAGGTGGAGAGTACACCATGCATACACATATGCACACATTTACACACACACACCACATATGTGCATATATGCACAATCCACACACACACACTCGCGCACGTGCTGGCTGGCTGCCTGAGAGAACAGAGGGCTGTCCGCCAGCCCTTGGGCATCCAGGGGCTTCCGCAGGGAAAGTGACGGCCACCTCACGGTCTGCCTCCTCCTGGTATCTGGCTGTTTCCAGCAGCTCTTGAAGATGTTTCCTCACCACTTCCTTACTTGAAGCAGCACCCAGGGTGGTTCCTATGCATTTGTACAGGAAGTGCTGAAATGAAGCCAGAGAACAAGGTTGTGCCTGACTCCTAAGTAGAGGGGTGCCCAGCACTTCCATGGTGCTGCTCCTGGAGTGCCCACCCTGCCACCCAGATGTGGGAGGGGCAGGTGGGAGCCATAGTGCTAGCCCTGTGAGGACAGACTGGCAGAGCCTGGGCAGCATCTGGGGGCAAGAGGCAGAGACAGTGGGTTCTGCGCCTTCCAGGTTTCAGCCACCAAGAGGAGGCCACAGGCCTTTTCCTGGCTCTGCCAGGGCCACCAGGACCATGGAGATAGACCCAGACAGCAAGTGACAGAGACTGAAGGCGGCACTGGGACCTGGAGCCTGAGCAGCTGCGCACCTTCTCCTGAGGCATCCCGTTGTAGCAGGGCAGCTGCTTGCACATCTCCAGGCTCAGCTGGCAGGTCCATGTGTTATCAGACACAGTACCCAGGGTGTCACGCAGGAACTGTGGGCAAGGAGAGGTCCTGCAGAGGCTGGCTGAAGATGGGCCTGAGGTCTGGTGTGTCATCACCTGAGGACCTCAGGGTGGCCCGTGCTGTGGTCCCATGTAGTCTGCAGGTGACCTCCCAGCAAGGGCAGTGGCAGCAGAGCAAGCCCTGTGTGGTCAGCTAAGTAGAAGCCTGGGACATGAACAGCTCTGGGCCAGGCAAGGGGTGAAATAAAAGGCCCATAGTGAGAGCAGTTTGGAGCCCCTGGGATTTGGCCTTGGCTACTAGAGGGTGGGTGTCTTGTCCCAGCTGTCTGCAGTTGGCAGAGGTCCTCACTCCAGAGACTCCTGCCCACACCTCTGTTCCTCCAGCCATACCACGATGTCGAGGTTGAGGCAGATGGTACAATTCTCAGCAGGTGGCCGTAGCCTCAGCTCCTGCCACCCCAGCCCTCCCCACCAGCCCAGAAGCTGCTTCCATGCCCGGGACAGGCCACACTCTTAGCCTCCTCTCTGCTCTCACCATCAACAGCTTTTCCTCCCACTCCTTCCGTGGCAGGGTTTCCTCAGTATATTCTGAAATGACAGTCACACAGTGGGTCTTGTCCTGCTAGGCAGGCCCACCCCATCACACATGAGTGGAGTCTTCAAAGCCCAACTCCCCCCGCCCAGCCCAGGACCCACCCATCTTCTGGAGCTTGGGGGGAAGGCATAGCAATAGCCAACCCAACCTGGCTGTCCACACTTCCAACCTGCTCTCAGTGACAGGAAGGAAGGCTTTCAAGCCCCAGGCTGTCCTGGACCACAGTGGTGACTGTTTCTTCCAACTTACAAAACCCTCCTCCCCACTGGCCAGCCCCTCCCCGCAACCAAGCGCTGCCCTCCTCACGTGAACCCCACAGGGCCTCACCATCTAGGTACCCCAACAGCAGGGGGATGGATGTCTCCCACTGATGACTCAGTGAAGGGTGAATGCTACGATGCAGAATGTTCAGAAGACGCAGCGAGGCTGCCCCACGCCCATCCCCCAGGTAGGGGTTGGAAGACACAACCTGAAGGGAGGCAGAGGTGGGAGTGAGCTCTGAGCAGGTGGCTCCTTGCCTAGGATCATACCCTGCACTTGGCTCTTACCAAAGCTCAGGCTATGGTGATAGAGGGCAGCCCTGCCATGAGCATCTGTCCGGCAGCTCCTCACTGAAAAGGCAGCGCCCTCCCTGGGAGTCCATGACAGCACAAGGCTCTGGGCAGTGGGCTGCCACATGCATGGGAACAGGGACTCAGAAAGAAGTGCCTACTTCTAACATCCTCTGAAGGACCCCAGAGTCTAGCTGCGCTCTAAGGAGATGTTTCCCGATCGGGGGAGCTGCATAGTACATTGCTCACCAGGAGTCTTGTGGTTACAGCGTAGGGAGATGGAAGGTTCACTGGAGACAAGACATGAGGAATAGTTGCTCAGAAGCCAGCCTGGCTGCCTGGGCCCAGCCTGCAGCTCTCAGGGGGACAGGGAGCCAAAGCTGGGGCTGTGGTCACAAGCAGGGACGGGGTCGGGGCCGGCACGCACCATGGGCATCATACTGGATGAGGAAGGTGTCAGCCCCCACCTCCTGCCTCTTCTGCGCTAGATGCACGAGGCTCCTGCAGAGTGGAGTCAGGGCCCCGGTGAAGCGCACAGGGGTGAGGAACTCCAGCAGGTACGGCCAGAGGACCTGAGGGCAGAGTCGGCTCAGAGCTGGCAGGGCCTGGGCACACCAAGCTCTGCACAACAACTATGAGGACCGCAGGCCCTGCCTGGGCTCAGAGAGCAGGCCAGACCCTTTGCTTGCCCTGCTGTAGCTGAGGCGGCCTCTGAGCACTGCCTGGCCACTACCCTGCATAGTTTAGCCATCACCCAGGACCTGGGGTTGGAAGGGGTGAAGTTAGTCACAGAACAGGGACAGGAAAACCTCCAAATGGGAATACAGGGGTACAGCCGGAGGGGAGGCCAGAGCCGCCCTGCACTCACGTCACTCATCCTGTCCACGGCGGTGCTGACCAGGTAGAGCGTGCAGATGCTCATGGCCCGCACACCATCAGCTGAGAGGTTCTTGTTGTCGGGGCCTGGATTCTCAGGCTGGAGGGGGAAGGGGCAGAAGGCAGGGCATGGATGGGGCATCATGTCACGCACCAACGTTAGGCAGCTGTGGCTCAGGCCAGTGAAGACACAGCTGTGTGGGAGCAGGACAGATCCTGCCAGCCTCATCATGGAGGAGCATCACCTAAGAAACAGTCTCACCTGGCTCAGTTCTCATCTGCAAAATAAACAAAACCTTGAGCATTTCCTGTAAGCCACTGATTCCATAAAAATTAGGTCAGGCACAGTATTACTTGTAATCCCAGCACTCTGGGAGCCCAAAGTAGGAGAATCATTTGAGGACAGGAGTTTAAGACCAGTCTGAGCAAGAGTGAGACCCTGTCTCTACTAAAAATAGAAAAATTAGCCAGGTGTGATGGTGCATGACTGTAGTCCCAGGTGAAGGCAAGAGGATCTCTTCAGCCCAGGAGTTTGAGGTTGCAGTGAGCTATGACGATGCTGCTGCACTGTAGCCTAGGTGACAGAGCGAGACTATTGTTTCAAAAAAGAAAGAAAGAAGGCCGGGCGCGGTGGCTCACGCCTGTAATCCTAGCACTCTGGGAGGCCGAGGCGGGCGGATTGCTCAAGGTCAGGAGTTCAAAACCAGCCTGAGCGAGACCCCGTCTCTACCATAAAAATAGAAAGAAATTAATTGGCCAACTAATATATATAATATAAAAATCAGCCGGGCATGGTGGCTCATGCTTGTAGTCCCAGCTACGCGGGAGGCTGAGGCAGCAGGATCGCTTGAGCCCAGGAGTTTGAGGTTGCTGTGAGCTAGGCTGACACCACGGCACTCACTCTAGCCTAGGCAAGAAAGCGAGACTCTGTCTCAAAAAAAAAAAAAGAAAGAAAGAAAGAAAAACTTTGTCCATACTTTGCAATGCTGCCACAAGAGAAATGGGACAGCCTTTGTGGAAATGATAATCTCGGGAGAAATCCTATTTTCTACACCAAGCCTTGACCACAACCTCAGCAACCTGAGCAGGTGAAACACCTGCTGTCCTCTCTGTCTGGTGAGGCAGCTCCAAAGCCTACCTCCTTGGGAGGCTACTGTGGAAGGAGAGAACTTCTGCTCCCTACATACTTTGTGAGCCCTGCATTCAGGCTTCGAAACAAAACAAACACTGAATGACAAGGAGAAATTGGCAAAACTGCAACCATTGTAGGAGATTTTAATAGTAACCAAAGGTTAAGTAGAAAAAAATAGTGATATCTAGGCCTTAAACAACAATTTTTAAGGCATGCTCTAAAAATATAGATAGAACTTTATAACAAACACACACGAACAACTTTGAAAGCCTGACTGTTGAGCTAAAAAGAATATCTCAACAAACTGTTAAAAGCAGAAATCAAGCTGGCCAGATTCAATGTAACAATGCAATAAAATTACAAATCCATAATAGGCATGAAAATCTATCCACTGGGGGATTTTCAAATATCATAAAAGAACCATTTGGGTTAAAAAAGAAACCAAACAGAAACTGAAAACTATCTTATAATGAACACTGAGAAAACACACAAAATCACCAGACACACAAATATTAGGCACAGAGGCCAAGGACATTGTCTAAAATATCCTAGAAAAGGGAAAATATTAACAATATGAACTGAGTACAAGGAAAAAAAAAATCCTGAAAACGTTTAACAGTTGAAATAAAGAATTTAATTCAGGAAGTTATTATAATAATGTAATAGATATCACCAAGGAAGAAATTACTTAGAAGAACAGACTGAAGAAGACTTCAAGGAAAGAAAAAATTTAAAAAGAACGAAAGAAGGAAAAGCTCAAAGATAGGAAAGGCAACAGTGCTAGCATTGAGATAATAGACAGGGCCGGGCATGGTGACTCACGCCTGTAATCCTAGCACTGTGGGAGGTCGTGGAGGGTGGACTGCTCAAGGTCAGGAGTTCAAAATCAGCCTGAGTAAGAGCGAGACCTCGTCTCTACTATAAATAGAAAGAAATTAACTGGCCAACTAAAAATATATATATATATGTATGTATATATATGTATGTGTATATATATGTATATATATATGTATGTGTGTGTGTATATATATATATATATATAATTAGCAAGGCATGGTGGTGCATGCCTATAGTCCCAGCTACTCGGGAGGCAGGAGGATCGCTTGGGCACAGGAGTTTGAGATTGCTGTCAGCTAAGCTGACGCCACGGCACTCTAGCCCAGGCAACAAAAGTGAGACTCTGTCTCAAAAAAAAAAAAAAGATAACAGATAGACCAGAATTAGAGAGAAAAAAACCGATGGCAAGAAATAGTTAAATGAAGGAGAGAATTTCTCCAGAACTAAAAGGTAAAAAGAACACATCCAAGCAGAGTCCAAGCAGAGTCCACAGAGCTTGAGGCAAGGACAGTGCAAGATGAGCCAGGGACATCTTCATGTGCCAGAAAGTGAAGACAGGCTCTGAGAACAATGAACCACATCTCAGGAATACAGGAGCCAGCTCATGGCAGCGCCACTGGCCAAACTCGGGACAGCCTTAGCACCAGAACCGACAGAGATGGTGTCTAGACCATCCAGTCAATGAGGGGCCATGAGTCCTCGTGAATGTAAGACTAGGAAAAGCTCTCTGTCTCAACATAAGACTAAAAAACTAAGTGTAGAAATATTAATGGAGTTAGAAAACCATCAACTGATGCTAAAACTGATTGATGTTGATTAAGTTTAATCAGCAAGCAGATATTTACTTAGTCCCAATCCAACTATCTATTAATTATAAGAGACAGCAACTGTAAGTGCAGAAACCTCACTGAAACAAGTGATCAGAGCTAACAAGACCAATGTTGTGACAACCAACTCTGTGATGTAACACACATGCTCCCAGGAGATTCCTGTCAAAACTGCATCACCTGAATCAAATCATGAGGAAACACAAGCCCTACCTGAGAAACATCTAGCAAAATAATTGGTCTGAAGTCTTAGAAAATGTCCAGTCAACAAACACAAAGACAGGGGGCTAACAAGACATAACAACTACACATAGTGCCTCACTCTATGTTGGAAACTGCACCTGAAAACAGCTGTAAGAGACAGAATTGGGAAAAATAATAAAATGTGAATACAGACTATGCATCAGGTAATATGGCCTCAATGTTAAATTTCCTGATTTTGATAACTGTACAATGGTTATGCAGAACAATGATCCTTATTGTTAGGAAATAAACACCAAGATATTTAGTATTTAGGGATAAAGGGATATAATGTCTCTAATATTTTCTCAGGTGAGTTAAAAAATGTACATGCATGCACATGTGTGTATACAAAATATATAAAGAATAACAAAGACATAACAAGAAAACTACACACACAAAAAAAGAAAACTACAGACTAATATCTCTTATAAATGTAGATGTGAAAATCCTCAACAAAATACTAGCAAACTGAATTCAACAATATATAAAAATGATTATACACCATGGCCAAGTAGGATTTATCCCAGGAATGCAAGGTTGGTTTAACATCTGAAAATCATCTCATGAAATGCACCATTATTGCTAGAATAAAGAACAAAAACCATGTGTTCATCTTAACAGACACAGAAAAAAGTATGTGATAAAATTTAGTACCTCTTCATGACAAAAATATTTAACAAAGTGGGGACAGAAGGGAATGTCCTCAACCTAATGAAGGGCCCATGGCAAGCATCATGCTTAATGGTAAAGACTGGCTGTTCTCACACCCAGAAAGGACCAGGTGAGGGTGTCTGCTCTCACCACTTTCATTCAACACTGTACTGGAGGTTCTTGTAAGGGCAAGTAGCCAATAAAACTAAATAAAGAGCATCCAGCTTGGAAAAAAATAAAGCTATTTGCAGATGACTTGATCTCTATAGAAAGTCTTAAGGAATCCACTAAAAAACTATTATAATTGGCCGGGCGCGGTGGCTCACGCCTGTAATCCTAGCTCTCTGGGAGGCCGAGGCGGGCGGATTGCTCGAGGTCAGGAGTTCGAAACCAGCCTGAGCAAGAGCAAGACCCCGCCTCTACTATAAATAGAAAGAAATTAATTGGCCAACTAATATATATAAAAAAAATTAGCCGGGCATGGTGGTGCATGCCTGTAGTCCCAGCTACTTGGGAGGCTGAGGCAGGAGAATTGCTTGAGCCAAGAGTTTGAGTTGCTGTGAGCTAGGCTGACGCCACGGCACTCACTCTAGCCTGGGCAACAAAGCGAGACTCTGTCTCAAAAAAACCAAAAACAAACAAACAAAAAAAAAACTATTATAATTAATAAGCAAGTTCAGCAAGGTTGCAGTCTATAAGATCAATATGAAAGAACATTTGTATTCCTACACAGTAGCAATGAACACTGAAAATGAAATTAAGAAAATAATTCCACTTGCAGTAGCATCAAAAATAATAGTTATGAATAAATTTAACAAAAGAAGTACAAAACTTATATTCTGAAAACTACAAAATAGTGTTCAAAGAAATTAAAGACCTGAATAAACAGAAATATCTTACGTTGTTAGATCCAAAGACTTAATGCTGCTAAGATGGAAAACACTCCCCAAATAGATACACAGATTTAATGTAATCCCCATTACAATTCCAACTTACTCCTTTGCAGACATTGACAAACTGATCCTAAAATAAATTCATATGGGATTTCAAGGGACACAGACTGCCCAAAACAATCTTGAAAAGAACAAAGCTGTGCCTGCAATCCTAGCACTCTGGGAGGCCAAGGTGGGCGGATTGCTCGAGGTCAGGAGTTCAAAACCAGCCTGAGCAAGAGCAAGACCCTGTCTCTACTATAAATAGAAAGAAATTAATTGGCCAACTAATATATATAAAAAAAATTAGCTGGGCAAGGTGGTGCATGCCTGTAGTCCCAGCTACTCGGGAGGCTGAGGCAGTAGGATCGCTTGAGCCCACGAGTTTGAAGTTGCTTTCACGCCTGTAATCCTAGCACTCTGGGAGGCCGAGGCGAGCGGATCGCTCAAGGTCAGGAGTTCAAAACCAGCCTGAGCAAGAGCAAGACCCTGTCTCTACTATAAATAGAAAGAAATTAATCGGCCAACTAATATGTAGAAAAAAAAATTAGCCGGGCATGGTGGTGCATGCCTGTAGTCCCAGCTACTCAGGAGGCTGAGGCACTAGGAGCACTTGTGCCCAGGAGTTTGAGGGTGCTGTGAGCTAGGCTGATGCCACAGCCCTCACTCTATCCTGGGCAACAAAGCAAGACTCTGTCTCCAAAAAAAAAAAAAACAAAAACAAAGCTGGAGGACTCATGCTTCCCAATTTCAAAGTTTACTACAAAGCTACAAGTGATCAGGACAGGTGGCATTGGCCATCACATGGAAAGACAAGATGATGTGCAGGGGAGAGTTACAGTATAGCCTTGGTTTTTAAAAGCAACTTGGCTTTTTTTATTTTTTAATTGTGACAACATAAACATAACATATAACTTACCATTTTAACTATTTTTAAGTGTACAGTCTGGTGGCACTGAGGGTGTTCATAGTGTTGTGCAACCATCACTACTGTTCATCTCCAGAACTTTTCCATGTTCCCAAACAGAATCTCTGTCCCTATTAAACAAAAATTCCCCATCCCTCCTCTCCCAGCCCTGGAAACCACCATGTTGTTTTCTGTCTTCCTGAATCTCACCACTTCAGGGGCTTCACCTAAGTGGGATCACACTGTATCTGTCTTTCTGTGACTGGCTTATTTAACTCAGCATGACATCCTCCAGGTTCATACATGTTGCAGTATGTGTCAATTTCCTTCTTTTTTAAGGCTGAATAACATTCACATTTTGTTTATCCATTTATTCCCTCCATGGACATTTGAGTTGCTTCTACCTTTTGGCTATTGTAAATAATGTTGTTATGAACAAGGGTGTCCAAATATCTGAGACCCTGCTTTCGATTCTAATATTAAAAGAGATCTTCAAATCCCAAAACGTGTGGGACTACTAGACTAAAACAGGGGTCCTGGCTCTCTCCAGTGCGTGCCTAATGACCCAAGACACTGCCATGAAGAGTCAGATTGGTAATTGGACCTCCTGAGGCCACAGTGGGGGCAGTGAGCACCTCCTCACGAGGGACCCCACACTCCTGGCCAGTGCAAAGTCACAGAACACCCACATCCACTGTCCCTGAACTCCACTATTGCAAAACCAACACAGATGTGCCACTTGGCAGGCACAGTGGACACCACAGTGACATCACAGGAGTACAAGAAGGAGACCACATCTCTGCTCAGAGTGGACCTCCATGGATAGGCTGGCTCCACTGACTTGAAGAAACCAGGCTTGGGCCAATGCACTCACCAGCAGGCACCTGCACCGGCACCTGCACCTATACCTGTACATGCTATCTGTGGCTTATTTTTGCTATATTCTACGTTCCCCTCCTTCAAGAAGAAATTGGCATTTAGTAGCTTTTTAAATAAAAAAGCCTCAAAGAAAGCAAAGTCTCTATCTTCTGCCTGTGTCTTGAGTCCTGGGAGCTGCCCAGTGGACGAATGCAGTGCAGAGACCCTGACTCAGAGGGTCAGTGTACAGACACAGGTCCACACATCTACCTTGTGCCAGGCCAACAGCTCCTCATGACCTGTGCCTGATAGAAGCCCTGGCAATGTGGCCCAGAACTGGGCAAGGCAATGGCCCTTACCTGCTGCTCAGGAGGCAGTGCGCACTGTTGCACTAGGTACTCGATCATCACCTCGCCTCCAGGCTGCTCCAGGTAGCCGTGGTGGGCCATGGCACTGATCACCTGCACCACAGCCTGCTTCACCTGCCAAAACCAATGAGAGGTCAGGAAGGGGCTGCAGACAGAGGCTGCCACACCAGTCCAGCCAGCAGGGAACCTTATTCCTACCCCACCCGCACCTGTGCTGCACCACACCTATGCTGCACCCACACTTGTACTGTACCCATACCTGCACCTATACCTGGGCCTGCCTTCTCAGTCCCTCAGCTTCATGGGGGCTTCTCTAGCTTCTCTGACCGCAGCCCTTGTGGATGTGGTTAAGGTCTGTGGGGGCCTCTTTTCCTCCTGCCTGTCATACCTCCCCCACCCCCACTGCCTAGCCCCCAGAAGTCTCTTTGTCTCACCAGTTTCCTCCCTCCATCCACTTCCATCAAGCTTCACCCCAACTCCACAGGGCAATTTGGCTGAAGGCCCTGCGGAAAAGTCCCCTGTGCCCAGCCTCCCCAACACCAACTGCCACCCCTCCCAGACTCTAATCGCCCTGGCCTTGAGCAGTGGAGGCTGGTGTCCTCTCAGGCAGCTCCTCCAGTGCAATACCCACACACTTCCTGGGAAGTGCTGCCATGCCAGCTGTCTCACCCTTCAGGTGGTGGACCCCAAGTCTGCATCTGCTGCCCCAGCACCCCGGGGAGTTCTGTGCCCACGTGTCCTGCCATGCCTACTAACTCTGCCTGGCGACTCAAAGGCATGGCCAGTCCAATGTGACTGAAAACAGCCACTCCTCCCCCTGCACAGATGCCAGCCCCTGTCCTGAGCTCCAGGCCTTCTCATGTGCTGCCTCTCCTTTGGGAACTTTCTCCCCAGCATTGCAATAATGCCTCTGCCTCTTTAGCCATCAAGCCAAATATCATCCCTCAAACCACTCCCTGCTCGTATCCTTCTCGACAACACACGTGTGTCTAGCATGGCTGTTGGGGAAACAGGTAGGTCTGAAGGGGCAAGCAGGCTGGCAGCTGTCTGCCCAAGCAGAATGCATCTGGCCATCTGATATGGCAGGGGTTGTACAGCTTGGGCCCCTGTGAGGTGCTCTAAGACTCTGGCAGGGTGTATATAGGAGAACAGCCTTGAATAAGAGGAGGGGTTTGTGGGCTGTGTAGAAGGGACCCTGCAACAGATGTGACTTGGGGTCCATTTCAGTAGTTTCTAAAGAAACACAATAAAACTCTCACAGAAGGTCCCAAAGAGGAGTCCCAGGACCAGCACAAAGGTTGGCACAGTCCCCAGAAAGGGTCAGGGGGTCCCTGCTGCCTCTCTAGTAACCAGGTCCTATCCAAGACTGCAGTCCCTGGCTAACCTGGTGCAGTTAAGGATCTACTTTACCCAAAGATAAGCCTGGCCTCTGCCCTTGAGCCTGGGAGGTCATCACCATGCCCTGGAATGTCCTGCCTGTTAAGAATGTTCTTGTCTACCTGGGGGCCTCAGGCCACACTAGGTGGTCTAACCATGTGATCTCAGTGGGGGCTTTTGGCCATGTGGCATCAGCTCCACCCTCCAGAGGGGCTGGAGACAGCTCAGCCATGTGGGCAGCCACCCAGGTCCACAGGATAGAATCCAGGGAAGATGCAGGTGCCGTGTGTTTCAGCACATAGCCTGGTCAGAGGAGGTAGCCCTGTAGTCGGAGGACACCTGGAAGCTCTGAGTTTGGACCCTCTTGGACTCTGCCCCATGCACCCCTGACCTGGGATGATTTTATGCTGCATCTTTCCCCTGTAATCAGCTATAACCATGGGCATTAAGCTTGAGGTCAGTCCTGAAAGTCCTTCTAGTGAATTTCCAAACCTTACCATGGTTTTAGGGAACCCCCTGGACCTGTGACTGGTGCCAGAAGTGATGGTGGTCTTGGGGACTGTCCCCCTACTTCACACCAAGCCAGTACACCAAGAGCAGCCATGGAAGAGCGCCAGCAGCACACACTGAAGGGCACGCGACACCATGTGTCTGCTCTGGGGCCTGGCTACATTCCCTGCAGCTGCTCATGCCAGAGTGCGACCTGACCTGTTGGCTCACCTTGCTGCTGGGGTCCAAAAGAGGAAGCTTCATGGAAGAGAGAATAAAAGGCTTCTGAACCTCCATTTGAGCAGCTGCAAGCAAGGAACAAAAGAACTCAGCCTCCCCACCAAGACCAGGCCTGGCATCCCATCCCCCACCTGGAAAGCAAGGCTATGTGCCAGGGCCCAGCCTTTCTGTGGCCCTGCCTGGGAGCAGGGCAGGGCATAAGCAAAAGCATACCTACTTCCCTCCAGGACAAAAAATCTTTTTTCTCCAAATAACATTATTTTACCTTATTAAAAAGCTAACAGGGCATGGGGAGGGGAGGGAAAAAAGAAAAAAATAAGCTTACGGGTTGGCAGTTTAGGGCAGTAGGTGAGTGTGAGTCAGAGAGACCCAGGTTTGTAATGCTGGGGAAGGTCCTTCAGTGGCTCTCAAACATAAAAGCATAAGAGCCACCAGAAGGCTCATTCTCCCTTACCCCTGCCATAGGTTCGGACTCAGCAGCTCCCGTGGGGGCTCAAGTGTGCACTTCTCACACATTCCTGGTGCTTTGAGAACCAGTAATATAACCTTTGTTTCCTGATACTTAAATGGCTATAAAAAGTGGCTCCCAAGAAGTGGTTGTGAGATTAATAAAAATAAAACAAACATGGGAGGCTGAGGCAGAAGGATCACTTGAGGCCAGGAGTTTGAGGCTAAAGTGAGCAATGATGACACCACTGTACTTCAGCCTGGGTGACAGAGCAAGACCCTGTCTTAACTAAACTAAAACAGAAACAAAGGACATTGAGCATGGTGAAGTGCCCTCTGAGGCACACTGCATGTGGTTGGACCCATCCCAGGTCCTAGGTGCCAAAAAATTTGGGGACTGCCACTGTGAAAGGCTCTTCATGACCTCAGAATTGGGAAGTATGGGAGACATAATAATAAAAGATGGGGCCGGGCACGGTGGCTCACACCTGTAATCCTAGCACTCTGGGAGGCCGAGGTGGGCGGATTGCTCGAGGTCAGGAGTTCGAAACCAGCCTGAGCAAGAGCGAGACCCCGTCTCTACTATAAATAGAAAGAAATTAATTGGCCAACTAATATATATATAGAAAAAATTAGCTGGGCATGGTGGCGCATGCCTGTAGTCCCAGCTACTCAGGAGGCTGAGGCAGAAGGATTGCTTGAGCCCAGGAGTTTGAGGTTGCTGTGAGCTAGGCTGATGCCACAGCACTCACTCTAGCCTGGGCAACAAAGCAAGACTCTGTCTCAAAAAAAAAAAAAAAGGAAAAGATGCCCAACACCTACCCTGAAGTGGGTAGGATACAAGGGAGCCACACTAATAACCACAAACTCACATGGGAAAGATGTTATTTTTTTCAAGCTTATTACTAATTAATTAAACTTAAAACCAGGAAAACTGAGTCCTTTAATCTAAGTGGGAGGAAACCATCACACATATGAAAATCGAGGGAAATTCTACAAAACAACTGGCCTCAATTCCTAAACAAAAAGGACTCTTCTTGGTCAAAGGAGTCTAGCAGACAACTAACCTAAATCATAGCACACCCCTGGTGGGGTCCTACATGAGGGGATGATCTGCCAGACACCCTGTGACAATGATCTGTACAGCTCTAAGCACCCTCACGGTGTGGTCACCTGGAGAGTGCCAGCCTGGAAAGTACATGTGAGCACACCGGCTGTTTGATGCCAGCCATCCAAGGTGGGTATCAGCCATCAACTTCTTGCGACAGTAGGTGGGCACTATTCTTCCAACTTTTCTAAAAGTTTGTAATGTGCACACACAGAAGCTGAGTGTGGAACAACTGACAATGGCGCCTTGGGGGGTGGGTGGGAGGTGCTGGGTGGGAACAACGTGTGTTGCTTCAGTGACGGATGCACTGAGGCCCTGACTTCACCACAAAGCAACATATCAGTGCAGCAGAATTGCACTTGTTCCCCAGGAATACACACACATTTTTGAATACTTCTAAAAAAAGTTTGGAATTTTTGTGAAATAGAAAGTTGGGAAAATATTCAACCCTTTACACTCGGGTGTCAAGTGTGACTCAACACGGGTAGCAAAAATTATAGAGATTAAAATTACTCTTTGGGCCGGGTGCGGTGGCTCACCCCTATAATCCTAGCACTCTGGGAGGCCGAGGCAGGCGGATTGCTCAAGATCAGGAGTTCGAAACCAGCCTGAGCAAGAGTGAGATGCCATCTCTACTATAAATAGAAAGAGGCTGGGCGCGGTGGCTCACGCCTGTAATCCTAGCACTCTGGAAGGCCGAGGTGGGCGGATTGCTCGAGGTCAGGTGTTCGAAACCAGCCTGAGCAAGAGTGAGACCCCGTCTCTACTATAAATAGAAATAAATTAATTGGCCAACTAACATATATAGAAAAAATTAGCCGGGCATGGTGGCACATGCCTGTAGTCCCAGCTACTCGGGAGGCTAAGACAGTAGGATTGCTTGAGCCCAGGAGTTTGAGGTTGCTGTGAGCTAGGCTGACGCCACAGCACTTACTCTAGCCAGGGCAACAAAGTGAGACTCTGTCTCAAAAAAATATAAAAATAAATAAATAAAATAAAAATAAAATAAAATTACTCTTTGAATGTATCAATAATTTGAAATATAAAAATTCCAAATAAATAAGTTTGTATGAAAAGAAACTCCAGTTTTTTATTCTACTGTCGTGCTTTGTAAAATCTGGGGCATTTAAAAAATTAAATCCCGAGTAGAATAAAGGAATCGAGAAAAAAGCAAGCGAGTGCAAATGGTTAAAAGAATTCAAAGCAAGATGCTACTTTTCACCTAAAAGACGGACAATATCTGCCTTTACCAGGCCCTGCTCCAGCATGGCAGGTGTGGGGGGCACTCACCGGCGGAGTTGATGACATGTCTCAGGACCTGCAGGGTACCCACGCGGAGCCTCTCATTGCTGGTGTCCAGCCTTGGCAACAGAAAGGCCAGCAGGCGGCCAGGTGCACAGCAGGCTACGGAGCAACATACGCCTGTCAAACTCTGTCCAGAACCATCTCTCCTCATTCCAAGCCTGCACCTGCAGCCTCAGGGGTGGTGTGCCTCCCTTGCTTGTCCCTGTACCCCGTGTCTACACACTTCCCAGCATAGAGGAGGAGCAAGTGAGGAGTTTCTGTGTGACTGGTGAGAAGCTGGGGCTGCCTGATTGCTCAGATAGGCCCTGATGGCTTCTGGGGTGGGGTGTCGAATGTAGGGGCCCAGGAGGGTCAGCGTCACCTGGAGCAAGTGGAGATGCAGACGCTTGGTCACCCTGGATCTGGGCACTCACTCCAGCTTCTCACACTCACAGGGCCCAAAAATCCTCAGTCCCCTCCTGCCTTCAGGCCAGTCTAAGGTTGGAGAGATGCTCACGCCATCAAGCACTTGGAACCCCAGCACAAGCTCCAGGGCTTCCCGAGGGGGTCTTCACCCAACCTCCATTTCTGAGTGCTGCAATGGGAACCTCCCAGCAATGACAGCAGGTTCTTTTATCCTATGAACTGTCATCATCAACAGTGCAGGTGGGCCTTGGGTACCTGCTCTGCCTGGATGTCAGACTTGCTGTCCTCCTGCCTACCACACCCTTCCCCCAGCCCAGCTGAGGCCAGTCTCCTGCCTCCCCTCCTTCTATGCACCTCCTGGGAACCAGGGCTTTCACTCCTGAGATCTCCTATAAAGACGGATGTTGATGCTGATCTAGGGAGGGCCTGAGGTTCTGTACTTCTGACCAGCGCAAGGTGGATTGCTGATGCTGCTGGCCCTGAGCAACATGATAGCTCTGGATGCAGGCAGGGTCCCATACTCCATCCTCCTGCCCTTGGGGACTGCCAAGCATGGCCCAAGCAAGGTGTAAGGACAGGGCTTGCAAACCAGGCCCCTGTGGTCCAGGCACCATGGCACACTAGCAGGCCAGTGACAGGGTGTGTGGCCCCTCCAGGCAGGGTCACACAACACGAGACTGGTTGATCAGAGCCCACAGGGACATGCTGATGGGGCAGACAGCAGGCCTCAGCCAGGGTGAGGGGTGCAGAAGAGCAGGCTGCTGCAAGGGCATAGGTTCTCGCCCGTCTGGAAAACAGATTCTGGACTGTGGCCACCGGCAGGCCCTGGCTGTGAAGCCTCCTGGGCCATAAGCAGGTACAGGCAGAGGGAAAAAAGAGGCTCCTCAGGCCAACCACCACCACTCCCTACACACTGCAGCCAGCTGAGGGTGTGGGAGGACACTGCCACTCACCCAGCACAGTGAAGCAGCGCAGTACCTCCTTCTGGTTGCTTATTACCAGGGGACTCGAGGACTCCACAGGCACGCAAATCTGCTCAAGGGAACAGAGGACAGAGATTACAGGGACAGTGCTGTCACCCTGAGACCCAGCTGGGCTAGAAGGAAGGACGTGTGCCCTCTAAAGACGCTAGGCCTGAGCAGTTGGGCAGAGAGCTCCAAGCTGCTGCTCCACGTCCACAGCTCAGGTGCATGGCACTGTCCAGCCTGTTCTTACCCAGGAGTGGGGATGGTCGGGCCCCAGCCACAGGACACACTCAGTCAGAGTGTGCTTCAGCGACCAGCCCCATCCCCTTGCAGTTGGAGGAGAGAGACAGCAACAGACACACACAGCTTACCCTCATGTCTCAAGGCAAAAGCCCAGCTCCTTCCATACTCCACCCTTCCCAGCAGCAGCCAGAAACACTTCTGCACTAGGAGGGAGACCGTCACCCACATCCCTGGGCACGCATACCCAGGTCACAGGCTGGAAACCATTAATCTCTAGAACATATAAAGCACTAAAAACCGGCTGGGCGCGGTGGCTCACACCTATAATCCTAGCAATCTGGGAGGCCAAGGTAGGAGAATCACTCAAGGTCAGGAGTTCGAAATCAGCCTGGGCAAGAGAGAGACTCCGTCTCTACTAAAAATAGAAAGAAATTAGTTGGACAACTAAAAATATATATAGAAAACATTAGCTGGGCATGGTGGCACAAGCCTGTAGTCCCAGCTACTCAAGAGGCTAAAGCAGAAGGATTGCCTGAGCCTAGGAGTTTGAGGTTGCTGTGAGCTAGGCTGATGCCAAGGCACTCAAGCCCCAGCAACAGAGTGAGACTCTGTCAAAAAAAAAAAAAAAATTATTATTTCCATTTCTTTATTGGCTTATTCTTATTCAAGTTCTCCATTTCTTCTACCAATTTTGACATTTTAAGTTTTTCTAGGAATCTAATCATTTCATGCAGTTTTAAAAGTTTACCATAGTGTTGTTCACAATACTTATATTTTTTCTTTTCTTATATTGTTTTTAATACCTCTGTTATTGCCCTCCGCCCTTCCCTTTTTGGGACCAAGATGTGTTCTTGGAACCAGGACTGTTCAGGCTGGCAGGTGGTGGGGACTGCAGGTATGGGAGAGGCTAGTGGCGGGACGGAGCTGAGCAATAGACTCCAGTGCCCGTTCTACTCCTCCTCCACGAAATCTCCCTGGAGGCCACTGGTTGCTCTTTCCAGTGCCCTCTGCTCTCCACCCAGTCTGCGGGACACACATCCCCACTGCCAAGTCACAGTGCCCCACACTGCTCCACCAGCTGTCCTCAGGCCTCCTCCATCTGACCCCAGGGGTGCCCAGCTGATCATCCTCTTCAGGACCCGCTGCCCTCACCAGGCCCTGACTACCACCAGGCTGCACTGAGGCTTTCTCCAAGACCACTTGGGCTAGGCTTTGGGGCCACCATGCTCTGCCCTACTCGCTGCCCACTCCTGCCACCTCCATCCTGGGGACTCCTGTCACCTGCATGCCACTGCTGGGCAGGGCAAGAACAGGGCCATGGAACTGCACCCAGAGGGTGTTTCGGGAATGCCCCTTTCAGTCCCAAGTGGCCGATGCTCAGCTCCTGCTCAGGCACTTCAGCTCCTGCTCAGGCAACTTCACGCTGAGGAGTCCAACCCATGGCACCAGGACCCACTTCTGCCTGTCCTCCAGTGCCCCCACGGCCTACCTGAGCATGCAGAGCGGCCAGAAGAGCATCAAGCTGGACCTCCAGTGTGCGGCTGCCCACGCTCACAGCTGCCTCAAGGATCTGGCCCAGGCTCTGTTTAAGGTATGTAGAAGAGGGCCATCAGTCTCACTCCCAGCCTGACTATGGGTCCAACCAGAGCCTCCCAGTCCAGGCTGCGGGAATAAGCCAGGAGGGCATAGACCCTACCTTGGGGCTCAAATGAGGAATCCTGACCTCCACCTCCAGAATCTGGAGCTTTCTAGGAAGGGGCTCAGGAAAGGGGCTTCCCAGGTCACAGGTGCAGCCGGCAAAGAGGTCCAGGCTCCCTGGGTACCCATTCAGGGCAGAGGAGTGGGAAAATGCTGAGCTGGTCCCCACAAAGGACTTCCTGCATGCAGAATGCCCCAAACCCACCACTTAATCTTAACAGACCACTCAGGGCTACTTGTCCCAGGGTCTGATCTAAGGGGTCCTGAGGGGTTGGGTGGTAGACCTGCCCCGCTTGCAGACACCTTGGACACGTAGAATGTCTCTGCATGCTTCTTATAGAGGGCGAGGACCCCGGGGAGGAGCTTGGGAAGCTGCTCCTCCAGCCTCTCGCTTGGCAGCAAGAGGCTCATGGGCCCCAGAGCTTCCACCACGGCGAGCCGGAGCTGCAGAGAGATGGGGCAGGGCATCAGCCACACAGAGCCCTTCACCAAGTGCCTGGGTGGGCGTAAGGGAATCCCAGGTTACCAGTGGGTCCTAAAAAGAGCTGGGAAGTGGGCCCAGCAGCCACAGGTCAGAGTGCAGCAGTGGAGTGACCGTGGACAACTGGACAGCAGCCAGGCAGAAGCAGTGTGTATGAAACACTCAGTGCCACCTCAGGGAGCACGGGCTTCAGGGCAGGTAGAGGGTACAAGCCAGGTGGACATCCACAATGACCAGGCCTCAGGGGCACATGTGCCCAAGGAGAACAGGACGAGGTCCAGAGCAGGCTGGTACCAGTTACAGGAGTGGGACCCACAGGTGAGGCTCTACCCAGGGCAACCCTGCTCCCCATGCAAGCCCCCCACCTCCAGAGCAAAATCTGTGGGCAGGGAACTCAAGGGATGGAGCACCTGGGCAGCAGGTGTAGACAGGTGACTTGGCCTCCTGCCCATCCTATGGCAACCCCCAAAGCCCACAGAGCAGAGGCCCTCAGTGGCAGCCATGCCAGGCCCAGATGGGCAGGCTTATAGGGACATACCCTGGGTTCTCGACTCTGCAGCCAGTGGTGGAAGAGAATGTCATAGGCACTGAAGATGTCGGAGGCAAAGGTGTCCTTTCTGACCGTGGGGTCTGGTGCTTTGTCCAGGTTGGCCAGATACTCCAGGGTGCTCTCACTAAAGTGCTGCAGGGCTGCAACAAACCCCAGTGGAGAGTGGCTTCGCAACACCCCTGGTCTGCATCATGCCCCTTCTAGAAATCCCATTCCAGTCTGCAAGATGCCTCCCTGGCACACTGGCCAGGTGCCGGACTCCAGGACCACAATAGGGTAAACAGAGCCTCACAAGTTCATGTTTTTCCCAGAACCTCAGACAGTGACCTCATTTGGAAACAGGATCTTTGCGGATGTAATTAAGACACGATCACAATTGAGTAGGGTAGACCCCAAATCCAACATGACTGCGGTCCTTATCAGAAAAGGAGAAGAGACAGAGACAGAGAGGAGATAGCCACGTGACACAAGGAGAGAGGGAGAGGGAGAGCGGGGGAGCAATGCAACCACAGCCAAAGACACCCGGGACCCATGCCCACCATCAGAAGCCAGGGAAGGCCTGCTATGCGCTCTCCCTCTGGTCTCCACAAGCAACCAGTCCCACTGACATCTTGATCTTGGACTTCTGACCTTCTAAGCTGCGAAAGGATAAGGTTCTGACGTTTTAAGCTACCCAATTTTTGCTTGCTACGTTGCTACCTAAGTAATAGGAAACCAGTGTAAATACCAACCACCCTGCCGAGGACTAGGCAGAGGTGGGAACCCAAAGAGGGACACCGCCAAGGGGGCAGTACCTCTTGGCCAGTCGCCCAAGGCCTCACTCAGAAGCTTCAGGGGCAAGTCCAGAGCCCCGGGAAGTGCTTACCACTCAGGGAGGGTCCTCACAGGCCTGAGGCCCACTAAGAAGCTGTCCGTATCTTCAGCTTCACCAATGGGGCCACATGCCCTCCAAAGTGGACTCCCAGCCACTGCTCCTGACAGCCACAAGTGCTGTTCCAAGAAACAATCTGAACTCTACATTTGCAGACAATTAATATATTTTCTCCAAACTGACTGATATAAAACGACATCTTCCTATACAGCCTCATCTGGATTCTCCTAATTACCAGTGGGTGTCTTTCCTGGTGTAGGTTGGCTGGCTTTGACCTTTCCTCCCCCACTTCTGTCTGAGCTGAGGTCTCCCTTTCTCATTTAACAGGATTTCTTCCTGTATCTGCTTTGAAAGGCAGCTCATCAGTGTGAGACAGACTGCCCAGTCACAAGGCTGACTCTGTCACTCCTCAGGTTTGTGACCTGAGGGAAGTTACTGTGTCTGGGTTTTCTCGCCTATAAAATGGGGCAATGGTACCACTGATGCCCAAAGCTGGACCACCTGGGCTGGCGCAGGCACAGTGCTGAGTGCTGGTCAGATGTGTGTGCCGGCTCCTGCTGCATGTGCTCCATCTACTCCTACTCCCAGGACCAGGGCTGGGCCTTTCCACTTTGTACAGAGCAGAGATAAACTTTTTATAGTATCTCATAATGCACAAGGTTAATTTTTAACATCAAATGTATTAATCCTCTCTTTCGTGATTTGTACTTTTTGCATCTTAAGAAACCACTTTAAGGCCAGGCACTGTGGCTCACGCCTGTAATCCTAGCACTCTGAGAGGCCGAGGAGGGAGGATTGCTCGAGATCAGGAGTTCAAAACCAGCCTGAGCAAGAACAAGACCCCGTCTCTACTATAAATAGAAAGAAATTCATGGCCAACTAATATATATAGAAAAATATTAGCCGGGCATGGTGGCGCATGCTTGTAGTCACAGCTATTCGGGAGGCTGAGGCAGTAGGATTGCTTGAGCCCAGGAGTGTGAGGTTGCTGTGTACTAGGCTGACGCCATGGCACTCACTCTAGCCTGTGCAACAAAGCGAGACTCTGTCTCAAAAACAAATAAAAAAAAGAAACCACTTTAAATCCAGCACTTAAGCCAACAGGTACAGGTGTCCCTGACAGCCCTACCAGGCTTGCCAGCCTCTGGCTTGTCCGTGCTCAACCATCTCACACCCTTTTCTCTCAACAAACCCACTTCAGTGATGTCAACCTCACTGAAGAGGACCTCGACCCCGCCTGAGCCCACGCTTGTACCCAAGGCTCCTGTGTTGCCCGTGGTCACCATGAAGCCTCCCTCTGGAGTCCCTGCAGCAGAGACCAGCCCTGCCCCTGCTAGAGCAGAACTGAGAAGCGTCTCCTCCCCTACTCTCGGGCCATGGGCCTACCCTCCAGCACTGCCTTCAGGGTCACCAGCCACCCCAGGGGCTAACCCAACAGTTAATTCATGAACCAGTGGGGACAGGCAGATGAACAGAGAGCTATATGCCACCTCTGACACTGGTAAGTAGGAATGTAAATACTCCTTAGATGCTGATCTTACAGCAGCATCCTGCTCAATTCTTGTCACCTCTAATAATTTGTGGGAATGTGTTGGGATTTTTACATAGACAATTTTATTAACTAAAGACCATAAAATTTGGTTTCTTCCATTCTTTATTTGTCTGGTTGGTTTACTGTGGGGTCTTGTAGTGCTGGTTAAATTCCCCAGAATGTTAGATGACATTCCACAGATGGTAACACCAGCCCTCCTTGCCCACACCAATCCCAGAGAGGGCCTCTGGGTGGCGAACACCACAGCCCCACCCAGCTGTGGGATCCTGGAGGGACCACTCACCCTCTCAGGGGCTTCCACCTTCCTGCATAAAATGGAGAAAACAGCAGGTGAACTTAGCCTTGCATTCTGGGCATTCCTCAACTACAACTTGCTTGTTTTAGGGTTTCTGCATTTCTGTTACCCTCTCACACTATCCTCACCTGCTTTGGGTCATAGGTTAACCTGGCTCATAAATTGAGTGGGTTATTGTATATTCTCTAGAATTCTGTGTTTTAAAAAGTGTAAGAGTGAGAATCTATATCTTGCTTTTGACACTAGTAGAAATGCTTCTAGTGCCTCCCATTAAGCAAGATGCTATCTTTGAGGCTGAGATAAATATATTTTTACCATGTGAAAGAAGTATTCATCTATTCATATTTATAAGATTTTTAACAACAACTAGGGAGGTGGTTGTATGATTTTTTTTTTCATACTAATTAGTATAATGAGTCCAACCTCCCAATATGGAATTGTCCATGCATTCCCTGGGGTGACTGCCTGGTCAGGACACAGCCAGTCCTTGCTGCTTGAGACGAGGTTTAGGCTCAGCTATCGTGGGGGATGCCACATGACAATTATGAATATCTACTTGGTTCTCAAGTTTTGGAACTGAGAATTAACACATCAAAGGTCACCATTTCCTGTAAAACCACCTTTGACTACAGATTTTGCGGCAGGAGGACAGATGGAGGTGGGCTAGTGGGGGAGCCGGGCCCATATGCCTCTCTTGCTGTAATGCTCAGGTCATGAGAGGAATTTAGAAACTATCCCTTTCACTTTTTTGTTCTTGGGAGAATCCCCTGTTGAAGCAGCCTGGGCTCCATGCTGGGGTAGTACCAGCAGCTCAGAGCTCCCCCCTTCAGGGAAGTTAACTTTCCTGCTCTGGGTCTCAGAGGTAGTGTCACTGTCCCTCCATCATTTCCCATTTCGCTTTGGAGTTTTCTTCCTTCTTTTTTCTTTTTTTTTTTTTAATACATATATATTTTTTTATTTCGGCATATTATGGGGGTACAGATTTTAAGGTTTCAATAAATGCCCATTTCCCCCCCCTCCCCCCACAAGTCTGAGTCTCCATCATGACCATCCCCCAGATGGTGTACATCTCACTCATTATGTATGTATATACCCACCCCCCTCCCCCCTCCCACCTGCCCAATACCCTATTACTGTAGTTCCTATGTGTCCACTTAGGTGCTACTCAGTTAATACCAGTTTGCTGGAGAATATATCTGGTGCTTGTTTTTCCATTCTTGGGATACTTCACTTAGTAGTATGGGTTCCAGCTCTAACCAGGAAAATATAAGATGTGCTATATCACCACTGTTTCTTAGAGCTGAATAGTACTCCATGGTATACATATACCACATTTTATTAATCCATTCTTGGATTGATGGGCACTTGGGCTGTTTCTACAGCCTTTGCAATTATGAATGTGCTGCTATAAACATTCGATCATTCGGTAGATGCCAGCATGGATGCTGATCAAATGGTAGATTCACTGTATCGCTTTAAGGTATCTCCATATTGCTTTCCACAGAGGTTGAACTAGTTTGCAGTCCCACCAGCAGTGTAGGAGTGTTCCTCTCTCTCCGCAACCACGCCAGCATTTATTGTTTGGAGATTTTTTGATAAAGGCCATTCTCACTGGAGTTAAGTGATATCTCATTGTGGTTTCGATTTGCTCTTCCTTTTTTCTTGATTAGGTAGCAACTTAACTATTTCATTCACTGTTTTCAAAGAACCAGATATAAAATATAATTGTTTTAGCAGCACAATTCACAATTGCAAAGATGTGGAAACAACCCAAGTGCCCATTAATACATGAGTGGATTAATAAAATGTATACCATGGAGTACTATTCAGTTATAAGAAATAATGGCGATATAGCATCTCTTGTATTTTCCTGGATAGAGCTGGAACCCATTCTACTAAGTGAAGGATCCCAAGAATGGAAAAATAAGCACCACATGTACTCACCAGCAAACTGATCAACACCTAAGTGCACATACAGGAATAACATTTATCGGGTGTCAGGCAGATGGGAGGGGGGAGGAGGGGATGGGTATATACATACATAATGAGTGCAATGCGCACCATCTGGGGGATGGACATGCTTGAAGCTCTGACTGGGGGGGGGGAAGGGCAACATATGTAACCTAAATATTTGTACCCCATAATATGCAGAATAAAAAAATTAAAATACATATTAAAAAAGAACAATAGCAAAAAAAAAAGAAAGAAAAAAATATAATTGCTTTGCCAATTTTTAACTTTCGGAAGTATTGTTTTTTTTCTGTATTTTCTGCCTTGCTCAGGTCTGGGCATGTGGGATGAGGACCATACACAGCAGTGACAAAGGTCACAGTGGCAACATATGTGGGAGTAGGCTTACTCAGGGCTCCTGCAGAGCCATGAGCCCAGAGACAGTGATGAGCACCCCCAGGCCACACAGCCACTGTATGGCAGCAGATTCAGGCCCAGGAGCCCAGGAGGGGCGGTCTGCAGAGGCTGCTGGTTCAGCAAGAGGAACATGCTGTGGCAGAAACGCCAGGATTCACAATCAGGCCACGGATAGCGCACCTCCAACCCTGTAGTGGCCACCTCTAAGGCTACTTGGCATTCCTACCCCTCCCTGACAGCACAAAGGGCACAGAGCTCTAACTGCTTCCTCCCCCCTCCACCTCTACAGTGGGCATGCTGGGACCTTCCTGCTGGCACCAGGGTACCCTGTGCACTCCTCACGCTCACTTGGAAACACCCAGGAGCCTCTGCGCCCTGTCCAGTCCCATGGAGGATGGGCTTCCTGATGCCCTGGGTAGTGGGTGATAGCCTTGGGCAGGGGGTCAGTGGCTGTGGGCTTGTGGCTCCAGGCATAGCAGTCCAGGTGGCCACTTGACAGCATCTCATTTTGACGGGATGCAGCTAAGTGTGACCTCTTCATGCACCTGTCTCTTGGGAGTGAGTGCGCCCGACACCTGCCCGAACACACCCCTCCTCTCTGTACTTCCTCGCAGCTGACTTCAGGCCCTATCTAACCCATCCACTTGCTCTTCAATGGAAAGGGTTATAGTCTCGTTTCTAAAAACTTGATTTGGTCCTTTTTTCAAACTGGCTTTGTCCGCATACTCTCTTTTCTCATGATTTGTTCCTTCTTTTATCTCTTCATCCTGTTATTTTACATCCTACATCTGATAATTTCTCATTAGTCACCATCACCCTTTGGCTGAGAATGGACCTTGGAGGTTCTGGTTCAGATGGGCTCTGGACTCCACCTGATGTGCAGAAAGGCCTTGTCTCCTACCCACCCTTGTGGCTGCTGAAATCCAGACTGCCCGGGGCAGCTGGAGACCTCTGACCCCTCACCTCCTCACGCAGCCTTCCTGTCGGCCTCAGGGTTTCTCCTCCTAATCAGGAGGACCTTGGTCAAACTGATCAGCATTTCTAGGTATTTTGTAGTGAGAAGGTTTTTCAGAATAACAGGCCACTATATTGGCAGAACCAGAATCTCATTCCCCAATTTGTTATTAGGTTTTGATTTTTAATCAACATTTTACACACACACACACACACACACACACACACACACACACACACACACACAGGTTAAAAGAGCAATTCTCGGCTGGGCCTGGTGGCTCACGCCTGTAATCCTAGCACTCTGGGAGGCCGAGGTGGGAGGATCGTTTGAGCTCAGGAGTTGGAGACCAGCCTGAGCAAGAGCGAGACCCTGTCTCTACTAAAAAAGTAGAAAGAAATCAGCTGGACAACTAAAAGAATATATAGAAAAAATTAGCCGGGCATGGTGGTGCATGCCTGTAATCCCAGCTACTCAGGAAGCTGAGGCAGTAGGATTGCTTGAGCCCAGGAGTTTGAGGTTGCTGTGAGCTAGGCTGACACCATGGCACTCTAGCCCGGGCAACAGAGTGAGACTCTGTCTCAAAGAAAAAGAAAACAAAACTAAAAGAGCAATTCTCATACACCCAATTTCCCTCTCTCTGGGAGCAACCATTCTCTAAGTAATGAACCTGCCGTGTTTCTCAAGCTACCCCTTTCTACACCTCTCTCCACAAACACTTCCTAACCTTTAGGCAACTTTTATTGGCCCACGAGGTTCTCTGCCTGCGTTCTAGCCATGGCACTGCTGAGAGCTCACCCCTCCCTACAGCTGAGTCAGGGAGCTTGTGTCTGCTCAGCTTTCCAGTTGTGCAGCACCAATGCAGCCCCCACCTCTCAGTAGGTGCCATGTCAGCACACAGCCACACGCCCCATCCTGTAGCTCCTGGGCCTCTTCCATCTTGGCTCAATCCACACCTTAGTGGGGTCCACCTCCAGTCACTGCTAAAGTCACATGTGAAGTGTGCTTTTGAGCCCTGATTCTCTAGTCTTTATTTCACCCTCACATTGAAATGGCTTTCAGGCTGGGCTCAAATTCCAGATTGAGCTTCCCATCAGGGCTTTGTGGGGCTGTCCCCTGAGCTTACCAGCACCAGCGAGAAGCCCAAGGCCACCCTGTTTCCTCCTCCTGGACCAGTCGCTCTCTGCAAACACGTTTCATGTGACCCTCAAATGACCTTTCCATCTGGGATATCTTCAGTGTGAGGAGTGGTTTTTAATCACTTCATGGCCCCCACTTCTCTGTCCATTCTCCCTGGGGTGCCTGTTATTGCAATGCTGGCTTCACGGTCTGGCCTAATTCTTTCTTCTCTCTTCTACTTTCCATATCCCTGCACTTTGGCTCTATTTTCCGAAAGATGTCCTCAACTTTCTCTGCCAATTTTCTATTATGTTTTCCATTTCTATCATAATGTCTTTAGCTCCCCTTCCTCATAGTGACAAGCTCTAGTTCCACACACGCATTATCTTATCTCCCTGAGGATATCATCATAGGTTCTCTTTCTTGGCTGTATTCTTCTCCTTGAACTGTCTGCATTCCCCAAGTCACAGCTTGTTTCCTTTGCTGCCACCTTTCCTGTCAAAGACTTTCCTCAGACAGCAGGAATCGCTGGCTGCCTGCCCTGCGGAACAGCTTGGCCAGGCCGACCAGGCACCTGGCTATCTGGGCCTCCCTCAGGCTCCTCTCCTGCCCAGCGGCAGCATCCTGAGAATTGGATGGGAACAAAGCTGCGGGCACATACCTGCTCCTGCTCTTGGGAAGCGTCACTGCTCTTGGCTGGACCCACTCTCTCCCCATGGTGGACACAGGTCTGCCCAGCACCAGAGTCTGCCTCAGGCCCTAACTGCCCACAACTGCCAATGGGCCTCATACACAGTGGGTGCAGACTTCCTTGGCCTGATGGAGGCTGCTGTGGCCAGCGGGACCACCATCTGCTCCAAATGCAAACATGATGTTCCATCTGTGGTGAGGGGCACCTCACCTGAGGGGATCCTTCAGAGAGTCTTATTGGTTAAACCCACTAGGTCCACGCGTGAAAGAAAATATCGACAGGGTAAAACCTGGAAGGACATTAGGCCTACCAAGGAAAAGCTGACCAAGAGTCTTTCAGAACTGTAAGTCAGTTTCTGCTCAGAGCCTCAGCAGTTGGAGGGATTCATGCCATGTATTTTCCTTTGAGTATCAAGGAAGTCACTGCCAGGGACACCATGGGGTGCCCCATTGCTTGGTCCTGGTCATGTGAGCCTGGACGAGGCCACCCTGTGCCCCTGCCCATCTGTACGTGTGCACATGGCGAGGCCCACACTCAGGCCTGTTCCACCATGCCTAGTTTAGGATGCAGTGCCCAGGAAGCCAAGGGCCCTGGCTGTGAGGTTGCTGCAAGGGATACCTGGCCCCCTAGTGTCCCAGAATCTCCAACTTCTGCTGAACTAACCCTCTGTCCCCTTTCTAGCAGGACACCCTCCATTCCCAATGGCCACACTCCCCATGGGGCACCAGTTTTAGCTGAAGCCACCAAGGCCCACACTGGAAACAGGCCTATGGTCCCCTGCCTGGTACAGAATTTGGCAGACACTGGACATGAGGAACCACTATCAGGAGGAGGTAAGAGGTGGGAGAATATCCCCCTGGACCCCTAGTGCCGAGATACCCAAGGAGTAGCCACTCCTCCAGCTCAGAGTGAGGAAAGAAGTGGGGGCAGAAATGGAAGGTCAAGGCTTGGAGGAAGTCTATTTCCACCACAGGTAAGTTCAGGCCCCCAACGATACGCAGAAGGTACTGGGTGCTCCCTAGGAGCAGAGAGAAGCCACAAAAGGGAGAGGCTTAGCCAGCAGCCCCTCCAAGTGCCCAGCCCTGGCCCCACAAAGGGGCACTGCAAACAAAAGAAGGGAGTTGGCGGGTACCCACTGCCCTTGGAATCACCACCTTACCAGAGCAGAAGGCAACCCTCAGCTCGTCCTGCTTGGTCATGCCCAGCATGGGCAGCATGGTGCTCAGGATGGATGGCAAGAAAGGGACCACACCAAACACTGCAAGAGAGAAGGGCCATCACAGGGGCTGTTGCCAAGGCCAGCCCTGGGCCCAACCCTACAGTGGGATGGGAGGAACCCAGGAGCCAGCATAGTCCTCAAAGGCCCTCCAACTCGCTCAAGAACACAGGGTGGGGGCCAAGCCATCACCTACCATTGGAAACTGCGAGGCTGGCAAACGTCCGCACGACAGAACAGTGTGGCAGAGCCCCAGGCTGGAACCTGCTCAGCATCTCCTCCATCACCCTATTGACGAAGTGCTGCCCCACGGCCACAAGGACACTGCTCGCAGCCTGCTGCCAGCCACAAACCAGCTCCTAGACCCCAGGGAGACAGAGGTAGGACCTCTCCTGAAATCTCAAACAGGCAAAACCAAGATGTCCCACCCTTGGCTTCCCTGTGCTCAGTGTCCCCAGAACGTGAGGGTTGCAGAAGGCTGCAGGGCATGGCCTCCCTTCTGAGGGCTGTGCCAGAAGCCCTCACACTTGGGGGAAGCAATAGCGCTGGGGAGAGGGGCTAGGAGCCTTGAGGCGCCAGCACCCTGAGAGGACTAGGCCCAGCACAGAGCCATAGGCCTGGCCTAGGCCGCACAGGCACCAGCGCCCCTACATCTGCTGTAAGAGTTTGGGCGCTTTGCTCTCTGCTTTGGTTTCTGCCTCGGAAGATTGTGGGGTGACTGTCCCTGGCACAGCAGGGTAGTCCATAGGACCATGGGGCCTCTGTCAGTCCAAGGTGGCCAGACACTAATCAGCACTCTTAATGCTCTTGGGTAGAAAGGCCAATAAAAAGAAGCTTCCGGCCGGGCGCAGTGGCTCACGCCTGTAATCCTAGCACTCTGGGAGGCCGAGGTGGGCGGATTGCTCGAGCTCAGGAGTTCGAAACCAGCTCTCGCAAGAGCAAGACCCCGTCTCTACTACAAATAGAAAGAAATTAATTGGCCGACTAATATATATAGAAAAAATTAGCCGGGCATGGTGGCGCATGCCTGTAGTCCCAGCTACTTGGGAGGCTGAGGCAGAAGGATTGCTTAAGCCCAGGAGTTTGAGGTTGCTGTGAGGTAGGCTGACGCCATGGCACTCACTCTAGCCTGGGCAACAAAGCGAGACTCTGTCTCAAAAAAAAAAAAAAAAAAGAAGCTTCCTACCCAAGCTAGGACCGAGTATCCAAGGCCAGAAGACCTGCCCATGTACCTTTGTCCTGGTCATCTCGCTAGAGGCCAGGAGGATGATGATGTTAGCTGTGTCCTTGTCCAGCTCGCTGGTGTGGCTGCGCAGAACCATCTCCATGGTCCTCAGAACCATCGCCCGATATGGATATGCCAGCTGAAGAGAGAAGCTGGGAGGTGAGCCCAGCGCCCAGGCACCCTGTACACCTGTCATCGCCTCTACAGGGACAAACCCACACTAATCAGCCCTCTGTGCCTCAAACATAGGAGGAGGGGCACTCTTTATAGGCCAAGGTAGGAGGATCACTTGAGCCCAAGAGTTTGAGACCAGCCTGAGCAACATAGTGAGACCCTGTCTCTATGAAAAATAGAAAATTAGCCAGGTGTGGTGGTTCTAACTGTGCGGGAGGCTGAGGCAAGGAGACCAATCACTTCAGCCCAGGAGTTTGAGGCTGCAGTGAACTATGATGACATCACTGTACTCCAGCCTAGGCAACAGAATGAGACCCTGTCTTTAAATAAATAAATAAAAACAGATTTTTAAAAATAAAATAGGGCCGGGCGCGGTGGCTCACGCCTGTAATCCCAGCACTCTGGGAGGCCGAGGCGGGCGGATTGCTTGAGGTCAGGAGTTCGAAACCAGCCTGAGCAAGAGCGAGACCCTGTCTCTACTATAAAAATAGAAAGAAATTAATTGGCCAATTAATATATAGAGAAAAAATTAGCCGGGCATGGTGGCGCATGCCTGTAGTCCCAGCTACTCGGGAGGCTGAGGCAGGAGGATTGCTTGAGCCCAGGAGTTTGAAGTTGCTAATAAAAAAATAAATAAATAAATAAAAATAAAAATAAAATAGCTAAGACAGCTGAGGGGGCAGAAAGGAGAGACCATCCCCCAGGACGTGTCACAAGGCCACAGCACAGTCAGTGGATGTTTTCATGGAACTGGGCTAGTCCCCAGGAGATGGCAGTCAAAAGATGAGAGATAAATACTCTCATGTAGCAAAATATTAAACCAAACACAAAGAATAACGGTCTTTTGAGATTGCAAAAGTCTCTTCCCCTTCCAAGAACAGCCTAAACTGCACATTGAGAAAAAAGAAAATGTGCATAATAATTTCAGACAACAGAGAGCTAGTGCTGTCAGTGGTTACAGAGAACTGCTGAGCCACTGCCAGGAGAGGGCAGAAATGCCACGAAGTGAGACCAGCTCCGAGCCACTTCTGCCCCAGGCTTGGGTCAGTGACCGACCAGCAGTGGAGGACCCCTCAGGACTCTCTCTCCAAGTGACTGTTGGAAAAAACCTTCTCTCCCTCAGGCAGGGACCATGGTCTGTCCCTTGGGCACCAAGCCTGGCACAGAGCTGCTGTCTCCATTCAGTGCAGAATCAAAGGCGTGGCAAACAGCCTCCTTCACGACAGTGAATGATGCAGTGGCCACAGCCCAGTCCCCTCATGACAGGACCCTGAGATCACTGGGGGATGCAGCCACACCCCATGTGTGACAAGACAAGGCAGGCCATCTGTCCTAAGTACCCAGCCTTGAGAGAGCTGAGACATGCAGCTGGCACTGCACAGTGCCTGACCAGCTGCTTCTGGCGGGGCTGTCTTTCTCAAACCAGGTCAGCCCACACTGAGGGTGGCCCTGACAACATCACCATCACCAAGGGGCAGAAATACCTTGTCATGCTGCCGCAAGTACTGCTCACAGGCACAGAGCATCTCCTGTGGCTGCACCTCCCCGAGGGAGCACAGAGCACTGCAGACTTGCTCCTGCACCATGGGGTCCTTGTCGGTAATGGCATCCAGCAGAGTCCAGGACAGCTCTGCAGTGACAAAACCCAGGTTAGCACTGCATTCTTAAGCCTGAGCACCCTACTCTATCACACCTCAACTGCCATCCCCTACAGCACACACCTGTCAGCCTCTGAGGATCACAGACTCAGAGTGGAAGGATACAGCATGTTCTGGCACCACCACCAGCCTGATGCCTCAGGGCCCAGTGGGCCTGTCCACCTTGCACAACAGCCATGCCTCCCATCCCCTCAGCCATACCTACTATCCCCATGGCCACGCTGCTGTCCTCAAGGCCACACTGATCTGCAGATGCCCTCTCTTGGTGTACCCCTCCCATCTGGTCTAGCCACACCCCACCTTGACATCCCTGCCTGCACAGGGGTCGGGTGCATTGAGCGGTTAGGCACAGGGGTATGGGGGCTCAGATTCTGGCCATCATTGAGAAGCTGCCTGCATCAGGGCTAAGAGATGCAGAAGGCACAGCCTATGTGCCATACAGGCACCCACGGCCATGACATTTTAGTTTGTGCTTCCTCGAGGATATCAACTCACCTGCCAGCCAGGATTCTACAGAGGGTTCCCTCAGGGTCCATGCCCAGGGCAACACCCCTCATGCCAAGGATAAGCTGGGATTCTCCATGACCCTATCTTCTACGTGTAATGCCTGGACAGGCAGGAACCAAGCAAAGGACCAGGGACACCAGTAGTGAGAAATAAGTGAAGAAATAAAGCTACTGCCCCATCCCATAGCACTCAGCCTCACAGGAGTAGGTGTGAATCAAGGAAATGATGAATAAATGTAACACTCTCTAGGCAAGGCCAGATGTCATCTGACCCGTGATTGCTGGCCCCTTCACTTGGTACAGGGCAGGCCAGGCACCCCAGGGACTTACACTGACTGGCTGCCCCTCCCACAGAAGACACTCTGTCCTAGGCTGGGATGTCTCACTCCCCAGTACCAACACCAGGGCTATGACACCTACAAGGACACCCAGGAGGCACCTAGGAGTGAAGGAGCAGACAAGCATCAGTGCGGGCCTCAGTCTCCCCTATGAGGTGGGATTCCTTCCTGAGTAGGAAGCTAGACTTTTAATAGCCCTCTATTTCCAAGGTTCAATAAACAATCAAGTTGATCCAAGTTAATGAGATCTGATTGTATCTAAGGACAAGTTTGACCCAGTAACCCAACTTGGCCTGTTCTAAAGCACATCTGCATCTGCTCTCCCAACTGGCCTTCACATAGGTAGAACCTGCCATCTGTGGATGGTGCTCATACTCCCTCATCCTACCTACATTCCTCTGCCCTGCCCTTGTAGGCCAGCACCCCAGGCTCCACCTGTACCCACAGACTCTTGTCCATCACCCCATTCCACACACCAATACCCCCCATGCCATCCAGGCCTCTCTGTGCCCCTCGAGATCAGGGCATGGCACCGAGACTGGCACTTACAAAGCCCCAAGTTGTGGCTCACCCTTTGGACAAAGCTCCAGAGGGCAGAGACACCTAGGGTAGGGCTTCCCCACCATTCTGGGTTGCTACTGCACTGGCCTGAATATTGATGTCCCTCCAAAAGTCACATGTTGGGACTTAGCCCCCAGGGTGGTGATATTAAGAGGTGGGGCCTTTGGGCTCTGCCCTCACAGATGGGATTAGTGCCTCATAAAAAAAGCTTAAGAGAGAGCCCTAGTCCCTTCTGCCCCACCTGATGTGTGAGGACAAAGCAAGAGATGCCATCTATGGAGCAGAGAGGGTCACCAGACACCAAATCTGCCAGCACCTTGATCCTAGACTTCTCAGCCTCTAAAACTATGAGAAATAAATTTCTATTATTTATGAATTACCCAGTCTAAGGTATTTAGTTACAGTAGCTTGAATTTTTTTTTTTTTTATGAAAACCTAGAGAGAGCATGTTCACTCAACAGTCATTCCTTCAAACCATATTTACTGAATACCACATACTTGTCTGAGTCCCAGACTCAGAGCTAGTAGGTGTGAGGTCTACACCTAACAGACTACACCCACCTCGACCAGAGCCACTCCATGCGTCACTGGAGCTGTAAGAGTCTCGGCCTGACCCAGTCCCAGGCCAGAAGCTCGTGGGCCCCCCAACCCCAAGCACATATGCACTCACTCTTCACACAGGACTCGGTCATTTCTGTGGCCTTGGCTTTTTCTGCACCAATGTGAACATGGACAGCGTCTCTAACCTGAAATAACAAAAAACACAAGATTTAATTCATAAGCCTCCACAATACCTAAGTTTATGGGCAGTTACCATTTTTGTGGAAAACACACAATTTAAATGAGTTTATTCTGGGGAAACATCTTTTCTTTGAGCCATGCAGGGAGGGAAAAGCCACTGCTGTCCTCAACAATCTCTAGCTCCCCTCCCTGAGCACACCTGGCAACCCACACCTCATACTATCAGTCCAGGGCAAGTGTAGCCACTGCCTCCACGTAAAGCATCTTCTTTCTTCACCCTGTAAAGAGCAGAGGATGGATGCCACAGCTGTCAAATGTCACTTCTTGGAGCACCATATGCAACAGATGGTCACAAAGAATTGAGTCCATTAAATATGCAAGTTCTTTTGTCTCCACACTATGTGGTCACAGGCTCAACTCCTATGTCACACTCCCCAAGCAGGATCAGAGAGGCCCCACACCTGCCCTCAGTGGGGCAGCTGGCTTCTTCCCAGCGCTCACGTCCTCGGGATCTCTGGGGACTCCACTAGCCCCTTCACTCCCCCAATTACCTCCCACCCATCACTCCTTCCTGACAAACTCCAGGGAAAAATAAAAGAGGGATGCCATGATCCCCTCAAGCAGGCAAGACATCTCATAAGGAGGGGGCAAAGTGAGAAATCTGTAAGCGTGAGAGGTGGTGGGATTGAACATGAGCAAAGAGCACTCACCCATCCCACGAAAAGCTCAAAGAATGACAGAAAATATGCATGTTTTTTAGAAAACAAAAAACATAAAAGTACAAGAAAACAAGAAAGATAAAATTAACAGACCAGAAATTTCTAGGAATCCTGGGAAGACAGAAAGCCGATGGAGAGCTCTGAAGTAAAGACGGTGTGGTCAGCATAGCATTTCCCCTTTCTTCCTGGAAAGCACCTAAAAGGTAGAAAAACAAGAAATAAAAACACATTCCATTTGTGGCACAGTAAGGAGAAGGCCAAACACCCCAAGCCATGGAAGGGTTCAGAGCCAAAAGGGCAGTGGCTGTCAGGTGGGGCAGGGGATGCACTGGTGACAAATGTCAGAAAGAGCCCATACAATATACCTCCAAGGCAAGGGCACACCTGATGTAGAATATCAAAACCCTGAGTTCCCGGACCTGTGTTGAGTTTACAAGGCGGAGGAGCTGGGGCTGAACAACCTGTCTCTGGGAAACAGAAGCTCCACCCTGTGCAAGGCCACCACTGCCCAGCTCCACTGTCTGGGGAAAAACAGCGAGGAGGACAGTGAGCTCCAAATGGTAGGAAATGAGGCCCCAGCTCACTGCCTGGAAAGAATGTCCAGGCTTGGGCCTAGCAATACATCTACGTTGAAGAGACAGAACTGGAAGTGTCGAGGGACACCAAGGTGGCTGGAGTTTGCGGGCTCCAGTGCCAGAGAGAGAGCCCTGGAGAGCTAAAGAGGTCCTGAGCCACTCAGCTTTACTGACCAGCAGTAGGGCAACTGGATAATAGCCCCAAAGATGCCTAAGCCCTAATTCCCAGAACCAATGATATAGTCCCTTATATGGCAACAGAGATTTAGAGATGAGATTAGGAGTACAGACCTTGAGATGGGGAGATTATCCTGTATTATCTGGGTGAGACTAACCTAATCACACAAGTCCTTAAAAGCAGAGAAGTCTTCCCAGCTGGGACAGAGAGAAGAGATGGAAGGAGGAGGATGAGAAATCTGAAGCATGAGAAGGATCCAATTCACTATCTAGCTCTGACGATGGAGGAAGGAACCTCTGAGACAAGGAATGTGGGTGGCCAGACGCTGGTAACAGCCTTAGCTCGTAGCTGGCAAGAACACAGGCACTTTGGTCCTACAGATGCAAAGAGCCTAATGCTGCCAACAACCTGAAAGACCAGAAAACAGATCCTGCCGAGAGCCACCAGCAAGAACTGCAGCACTACTGACACCTGGATTTTTGCCAGAAGGACCCACGTCAGACTGCTGACTTTAAGAACTTCAAGATAACAAATTTGTGTTGTTTAAGCCATTAAGTTTGCAGTAATTTGTCACATCAGCATTAGTTATACGAAAACTGGAGTAACTATACCAGAGTAGATTTCAGAAACATTAACAATCCTAAACATTTATATACCTAATAACAGATCTTCAAAATACATAAAGCCAAAACTAATCAAATGCAAGGAAAAACAAATAATTCTAAATTAAATATTTCAACATCTCCCTCTCTATGACTGATAAAACAAGTGTTGATAGAAAATCAGTAAGAATATAAAAGACATGAACAACAGTGTCAGCAACTTGACCTAAGTATTCTTTACAGAATACTCCATTCCATAACATCAGAATATTTATTTTTCCAAAAGCACATAAAACATTTACCAAGACTAACCATATTTTGGGCGATAAAATAATTCTCAATAACTGTAAAAGAATTCAAGGCATACAAAATGTTTTCTGACAAAAACAGGATTAAATATATAAATAAGAGGTACCTGAGAAATCTCTAAGTATTTAGAAACTACTTAATATTCTTTGAAATAATGCATAAGTCAAAAAAGGAATCAAAAGTGAAATTACAGCCAGGTGCAGTGACTCACACTTATAATCCCAGCATGATGGGAAGCCAAGGTAAGAGGATTGAATGAGGCCAGGAGTTCAAGACCAGCTTGGGTAATATATCGAGACTCCATCTCTACAAAAAATAAAAAAAATTAGCCAGGCGTGGTGGTGTTTGCCTGTAGCTCCAAGAGGCTGAGGCAGGGGGAACACTTAAGCCCAGGAGTTCAAAGTTGCAGTGAGCTATGGTCACATCACTGCACTCCAGCAGCGTGGGCAACAGAATGAGATCTTGCCTTTAAAAAAAATAAAATAAATAGGCCATGCACAGTGGCTCATACCTGTAATCCTAGCACTCTGGGAGGCCGAGGTGAGAAGATGCTCAAGGTTAGGAGTTCAAAACCAGCCTGAACAAGAGCGAGATCCCATCTCTACTAAAAATAGAAAGAAGTTAATTGGACAACTAAAAATATATAGAAAAAATTTGCTGGGCATGGTGGCACATACCTGTAATCCCAGCTACTCAGGAGGCTGAGGCAGAAGGACTGCTTAAGCCCAGGAGTTTCTTTTCTTTCTTTTTTTTTTTTTTTTGACTTCCCATATTTATTAAATTAGAAGTTTGCAGGTACAGCTAAGCCCAGGAGTTTGAGGTTGCTGTGAGCTAGGCTGATGCCACGGCACTCTAGCCTGGGCAACAGAGTGAGACTCTGTTGCCAAAAATAAATAAAAAGAAAAAAGAAAAAGAAAAAAGAAATAGACAAATTCCTTAAAAGACGTGAGCTACCAAAGCTCATTCAAGAAGAAACAGATAATTTAAGTAGTCCTATATCTCAAAAGAAATTGAACTTATAGATAAAAGCATTCCAACAAAGCCTACATGGCTTCCCTAGAGAATGCTACCTAACATTTAAGGAAGAAATAATACCAACTCTACACAAATTCTTCCAGAAAAATCGAAAAGAAGGGAATACTTCTCAACTGATTCTATGAGCATTACTCTCGTAACAAAACCAAAGACATTACAAGAAAACCACAGACCAATATCCCTCATGGACCCAGATCTGAAAATTCTTATCAAGATCGGGCACAGTGCCTCACGCCTGTAATCCTAGCACTCTGGAAGGCCACGGCGCGAGGATCATTTGAGCTCAGGAGTTCAAGACCAGCCTGAGCAAGAGCCAGACCCCGTCTCTACTAAATACAGAAAGAAATTAGCTGGAAAACTAAACATATATGTAGAAAAAATTAGCCAGGCATGGTGGTGCATGCCTGTAGTCCCAGCTACTCAGGAGGCTGAGGAAAGATTGCTTGAGTCTAGGAGTTTGAGGTTGCTGTGAGCTAGGCTGATTCCACGGCACTGTAACCCGGGCAACAGAGTGAGACTCTGTCTCAAAAAAAAAAGAACATTTTTAACAATATTTTATCAAATATTCATCAACATATAAAAAGGATAATACCTCATAACCAAATAAAGTTTATTCCACGAACACAAGGTTGGCTTTATATCTTAAAATTCAGCCAATGTAATTCACAACATTAATAAACTAAAAATGGCCAGGCACAGTGGCTCATGCTTGTAATCACAGCACTTTGGGAGGACAAGGCAGGAGGATCACTTGAGGCCAGGAGTTCGAGACCAGCCTGGGCAACATAGCAAGATCCTGTCTCTACAAAAAATAACAACAATGACAAAAAAATTAACCATCCCAGCTTCGTGGGAGGCAGGATGATCCCTGAGCCCAGGAGTTCAAGGCTGCAGTGAGCTGTGATTGCAACTGTGAATAGCCACAGCACTCCAGCCTGGGTACAGAGTGAAACTGTGTCTCAAAACAAAACAAAACAAAAAACTAATAAACACAGAAGAAAATCTTCATGACTGATACCAAAAGCAGAATCTACAAAAGAAAAATTTGATAAACTGAACTTTGTCAAAATGAAAATCTCTGCTCTTTGAATAGATCACTATAGATTAATACGACTAAGACTCACCTCTTAGCGATGGGCACCCCCACCCCAAGCCCTGCCCAGCACCTCAAGCCTTCATCCACACTCACAGTAGCTAAACTTTGTCAGGCACAGGCACACCACGCCTGACCAGCCTGCTGAGAATCACACCTAAGCCTTCCACAGGGGCCGTCATGAGCTGCTGTTTCTCAGACCACCTCGCAGCCTGTGGGTTCAGCCCCAAAACCTTTGCTTCAGCTTGTCCCACACCAGTCCCTGCCATGATTTCTCCACCACTGGATTCCTGCACCCCTCCAGGGTCCATTCCAGTCGCACAGAACACACCAACGCTCCAAGAAACTGAATATTCCTGCAGCCCTCTGCTCATGTGGTGAACATGGGATCGGCACAAAATATTAACAGCTGTATGTTCCAGTCTGTCTTCTCCATACAGTGAGCAGGGAGAAAGGTTTTGGTTTGTGTCCATAGTATGCACAGAATTAAACTGTTCATTGAAGGAATAGAATCGAAATCCTCCTGTAAGTCTCAATATTACAAAACTGTCAATTTCCCTTAATCTATAAATACATAAATCATGATATTGGAGGCCAGGCACGGTGGCTCACGCCTGTAATCCTAGCACTCTGGGAGGAGGAGGCAGGTGGACTGCTCGAGGTCAGGAGTTCGAAACCAGCCTGAGCAAGAGCAAGACCCCGTCTCTACTATAAATAGGAAGAAATTAATTGGCCAACTAATATATATAGAAAAAATTAGCCGGGCATGGTGGCACATGCCTGGAGTCCCAGTACTCGGGAAGCTGAGGCAGCAGGATTGCTAGAGCCCAGGAGTTTGAGGTTGCTGTGAGCTAGGCTGATGCCACAGCACTCACTCTAGCCTGGACAACAAAGCAAGACTGTCTCAAAAAAAAATGATATTGGAGGATGTTTGATGAATTGGTTCAAAGTTCATAGGAAATGATGAACAAGCAAGAATAGCCAATTAAATTTTGAAAAATATATGAAAAGAAGGGGGATTTGGGTCTATATTATGTTAAATTGTATCAAAAGGCTATCTTACCTAAAACTATGCTATTGTTATAATAGGCATATGAATCAACAGAACCACATAGAAACTCCAGAAAAAAATATTCATAAGGAAAAAAATATATTCCATGAGAAAGATTAGATTTTAAATCATAAAGACAGATTGGTCAATAAAGAGTGTTGAAACAACTAATTGAGCATTTAGGGGGAAAAAATTGGTCTTCCCAACATCTTACCTTACCCTAAAATAACTTCCAGTGGATATAAGTTAAATGGAAAAATGAAACTGCAAAAGTCTTACTAGAAAATACAGGTAAATATTTTATAGTCTTGGAGTTGAAAAGGACTTCCTAAGTCAAACACAAAAACCCAGGC